AAGTCATTACATCAGAGAACGGAGATTAAGGTCATTATTCTTGTCTTCAAATCCTTCCATGGTTTCATTGTTGTTACGAAACCTTCTCTAGTCTTCTCTGTCCTTGACAGTTTTCAACGATTTTATTGCTTACTTCTCATCACCTTCTCCTCATTATCAGCAGCTAAGCTTTCAGTCACTGTTTGCCTAGCTTTTGGAACACTGTTCCAAACCCATTTGGTACACTGATTCCCTGCCTTCAAAAACTCCTAAAACATTTATTTCAGTCAAATCATTAAACCTCTTATATCCCTGATCTCTCTTTGAAACATATCAAAAACATGATAAGGCGCTATATCAAATGCAAGGATTTTTATTATTATTATTATTATTATCCATGTTGCCAACACATTTGTTAAGCTTTTTAAAACATTATTTTATACTAAAGGCACTATATATAATATATATGCAAGTTGTTGTTATTGTTCAATAAATTATACAAAAATGAATATGAATTACAGAGTATCAGATTTGTCCTGAAAATGTTAGAACATTATTATTGGTTTTTTTAACTTTCTTGCACAACTTTTTTTTCTTTTCCATCTTTTGATGGAGGTAGTATGTTTCTAGAATACAATGCTTAGAAAGTGTAAAAGTAGAATTGATTGATTCATTTATAATGGAGCTAGGTTCTTAGAAAGTAGGAGTATTAGTAAGAAAGGCAAGACTTTGAGACATCCCCCTAACGTGAAATATAAATATAAATATAAATTGTATGATAATATATATTACAAAGCATTTGAAACAAACTCACTCAAATATATATAAAAATACAGATGTTTCCTTATATTACACAGTTAAACATTCATAGCATATGAAATTTGCTACCATAAGAAATCAGTTTTGCAACTAGAAAAATTTAAGAGTAAAAATAAGCACATCCTGAATAATTTTAGTATCAGCCTATAATTTTGTGGAGTTGTATTTCACTTCAAGAAGGCAGAAAATATAGAGCTTTGGTTGGACTCCATTGCACAGAAATAACTACAAAAGCCAAAAGTACTCTCAGATGTAACATATGGTACATGTATTTCCCTTTTGAAAACTGAAACTTAATTGAATATTTCAAAAAATGCTATTTTCTTTCCCAAAATGCAAACATAATTTTGGCTACTATAGTAATAGTTCCCTATTGCTGTCCTTTCCTGTAAATTCTACCTTTTTGTAACTTATTTTACACATTTGTTTATTTTGTGTTAGAAACATACATGATTATGTTATTTCATTAGATTTCAAAAATGTTAGAATAAAACAAACTGAAAAAACAAATGAAATTTTAATCATGTAGGTCATTGTTTAAGGGATATTGCTATGCGCAAATTGACTGCTGCATTCGCCACACAAAATACACTATCAATCCACTTTACAATAAACCCTTTGAAGAGATTTGAGACATTCTCCTGACATGAAACACTATATCAAATGTAAGTATTATTATCAATAAGAATGATATATTAAATAATATGCAGTTTTCAGAGTAAATTAGTAAATCCTGTGCTTTCTGTGTGCAATTGGCTTTTCACCCACAAAATGTCCAGTCAATCCACTTTACAATATATTCTGTGAGATGTCTCAACAACATGATAAGGCACTATATCAAATTATTATAACCCAACAGCTTCAGAATTATAAGGTGTATTCTATTTCAAAAAGCTTCTGAATCCCAAAGCGTCACAATTACCTTATAGCCTGAAGAATGCATGTATACACAATATAAACAAGTGTAGCTGTAGGAAGAGGAATGAATGCTGGTTCTACATGTCCTATTTTCTCCAAATGGCAATCAATAACTGGATGTCATTTATACAGCTTGCTCAATGCATTAAATTTAACCTTTGAATACCCATTCCTAATTTTCTACAGCTATAAGTTATAAGTTATAAGTACCAGGACTTATGTTGTTAACACTCAAGTCCTGGTACTTCCGCAATGATGTTCTTCACTGAAGAGCAGGAATCACTGACATTAAGAAACCCTTTACCTCACATATGACACTCTTCAGCTAATCACTGTCACTATTTTTGTTGTAGGTTTTTATTAAAACACAGCTTTTGGTTCTATACCAAATTTAGTAATATACAAATTCATTACATTTTAATATGAACTATTTCTGCTGATGATCTTAATGAATCTAAATGACATGAATTCTTTGGCTGATCTGAATTATCTCCATTATATTAGCATTTAAACAAATCCAATTTGACAATGTGACCATTTCAATGAATCTATCTTATACTAATAATATTGGTTATCTTTCTTAAAATTAGAGATTCAAACAACTATGGTTATCTTTAACATTCTTGAGTGGAACAAAGAGGCTCTCAATAAAAGTTAATTTTTTTCTTCTTTTCGGCCATTGAAGGATTGAAGGCTAGTGTATTTGAATTATTGTTTTCCTTGGATTAAATAAAGAATACTAATGATGAAGTACCAAATAAACTGATCAATTATATCAAACCTATAATAAAAGGTAATTTTGGCAATTTTCAATTTGAGCTGGAGGCAAAAACCATGGCAAAAGTCTTCAATTTTCAAATTGCTGTTATTTGGCTGGCTGCTGAACTTCAGCTGAGAATATTGTTTCAATTCCAACTGTACTGTCTAGCTACAGCAATGTGGAGCAAGGAGCAGAATTCCACTCCCAATCTCGTGGCTTAGATGCTGAAGAGAGTTCTTTTACTAGATTTAAAAAATATATTATTTAAGGGCCAGTTACATAAATATCCCTCTGAATACAATAATGTTCATTCAGTTTGTGGATCTCAGTCCAAAATAACATTAGTGTTTTGCTGATATCTGAGATTGCCAGCATGCCAACAACCAAGTGCTCCAGGACGCTACCCCACGTGTAGGGCGCTATATAAATGCAAGTTGTTGTTGTAGGTGGTAGTTTATCACATTTTTTCCTCAGGATAATCCACACAGTAATAAAAACTTTCCACTGTAGCCACCACTCCTATCCTAATCCTGGAAACATTTGTTACTGTGCCCAGATAATGGTATGCAAGGTCTTTGTTTTTACCAGTGATAACTATGAACTTTGCAGCCAATTGTCTGCTGCAGTAGAGAATATCATTTGTCCACAATAATAATAATAATCCTTGCATTTGATATAGGCCCTTATCACATCTTCGAGATGTCTCAAAGCACTTCACGGAATATACTGTAAAGTGAATTGACTGTATATTTTGTGGGCACAAAACACATATACTTTACAATATATAATTTGAAGTGCATTGGGCATTCTCCAGAAGTGAAAGGATTATTATTGGTCTTATTACTATATTATTAATAATATCCTTTTTAAGGGACCCATGAGTTAAAATGGAAATATACTGCATATTGAAGAAGCATCATTGTCAATAGGAAAGTGATGTGAATTCTGTATTCCTTCCCTTTCTGTTTCATTGGCCAGATTTCAAATCAAATACTTTATTACAATAACGGACCTTCCAACACACTTGTATGTTGTAGGTGTGAGCCGCACTTATTGAAGCCGTACACACACACATGATATATTCTGTCACCTATGTGTGTGGAACAAATGCTCATCTTCCACATGTGGAACAAATGCTCCTCTTTCAGCGCCTTGGGATGTCTTTCCGACATGAAAGACGCTATACAAATGTAATCTTGTTGTTGTTGCTTGCATTAAGTTTGAGGAAGCCAATCCAAATTTAATATTTAAAAGTATACTTATTAATTGAGAAAAATTGCCTCAGTTTAAATCCCGCATATTTCTCTTGTTATATTTTGCTGAAGCATGAGAGAAAATAAGTGAACTTGGAATTGGAATTATCCCACCATTCATAATTCCTACAATATGCTGCCCAATGTTCAGAACACATCCTATGTTAGTCTTGCAGTTATTCCACTTGCTGATCAGACTTATTTTGATTCTTTCTTTCTACATATGTCTGATAGATTGCCACTTTCCTTTTATATTCCTCTTTCTCTTCAGAAAATCCTGTATCCTGTTATATTTAATTCTGAGTAGATCTTCAATCAGGATCTTTTCAACAAGGTCCAATATGGGTGTATTATCAGAGATGTGGTCTTTCGGATGAGACATTAAACCAAGGTCCCATCTGCTGTTCAGGCAGATGTTAAAGATCCCTTAGCAATGTTCAAAAAGAGAAGGGAGTTCTCCCGGTGTCCTGGCGAACAATCCCCCAAATAAGATTGGTCATTTGTTTCATAGCCTTATGTAGGACCTTGTTGTGCACAATTGTGCTGTCCCATTTGCCTACATTCAGTCACTATATTTCATAGTAAATTCTTAGAATCATAGAATTATACAGCACAGAAGGAGGCCATTCGGCCCATTGCGTCTGTGACGGCTCTTTTAAAAGATCTATCCAATTCAATCCCACTCCCCTGCACTCTCCCCATAGCCCTGCAAACTTGTCCTCCCCAAATAATTGTCTCCTTCTCTCTTAAAAGTTGTTATCGAATCGGCTTCCACCGCCCTCTCAGGCAATGCATTCCAGATCCGAACAACTCACTGTGTGAAAACATTTCTCCCTAACCTCCCCTGTATTTCTTTTAACCACTATCTTAACAACTATTATAAATTCTGTGAAGCGCTTTGAGATGTCCTTCTGATGTGATACGTTGCTATACCAAATGCAAGAATTATTATTATTAACCTGTTCCGTTGCCTGCACTGAGGTGAAAGTCGCTATTATCAAATGCGAGTATTATCATTAATAATATTTAGCGCCTTAGGACGTCTCCTGACGTGAAAAGCGCTACATAAGTGCAATTCGCTGTTGAAAGCTGGACTGAGCCTATAGCATCGTTTGCATTTAAGCGAAAGGTTTTGTAACAAGTGCGAGTATAATAAATAATAACGATGAAACCCATCGCCCGCTGTGCTGCAACCTCCTCACTGCAGGGGGCGCTGTGACTGTGGGAGCCTGTGGTAGCTGTGCGGGTGGCTCTTGGCTGGTTGGGCGCTCCTTGTTGCAGGCACTCGGGTTGCATCAGCCGAGTGCGGTGCGGTGCGGTGCGCGTGGGGATGATGGCTGGAGACGAGGCGGGAGTGACGGTGGGGCAGCCGCACCTGGCGAGGCAGGAGCTCAGCACTTTGGTCAGTATCAGCACCGCTCTCTCCCTGGCTACCCGGCGGGGGGAGAGGCCGAGGCCCCGCCACTTCCCGCGGACTCTCCCCGCGTGTCAGGCCGCGCCTCGCGGTTGGGGCCTGGGTTCGTGTGAGGAGCAGTGGGAGGGAAAAGGCCTTCGCTTTCACTGCGTGTGTCCCCCCCCCCACCCCCCCACTGGGACTGCCCCCTACCCCATACCACTGGCATCACTCCCCTCCCCCATACAGCACTGGATTCTTGCGCCCCATAGCACTGCCCCCCAACACTGCCCTCTCCACCGTATAACACTGCCCTCTCCCCAACAGAAAGCACTGCCCCCTCAACACTCCCCCCATCGTATAACACAGGCCCATCTCTCCTCTCCCCTCCCCATAACACTGGCCTCTTCCCCTACCGTGTAAAGCTGGGCTCCCCCACCCCACGTATAGCAATGGCCCCTCTCCCCCCACCGCGTCTCTGTATAACGTGGCCCCTCCCCATGGCCCCCCCATAACACTGGTCCCCCTCCCCCCTGTGTAATATTGGCCCCTCCTCCCTCCCTCCCTCCCCCATAACACTGCCCTCTTCCCCCAGATAGCACTGGCCTCTTTCCCCCACCCGTGTACCGCTAACCTCCAACACCCCACATATAACTCTTTCCCCAGATAGCACTGGCTATTTCTCCCTCCCCCCTATATAACACTGGTCTCCCTTCCCCCCCCCGTATAACACTGGCCTCTCTTTCCCCGGATAGCACTGACTTCTCCCCTCTCACCATGTACCGCTGGCCTCCCCCACCCAACATATACCACTGGCCCTTCTCCCCACATCCCGCCTCCATGTAACACTAGTCCCTCCCCCCACTCCCATATAACACTGATCCCCCCCTCCCTCCGAATAACAGTGGCCCTACCCCCCCTGTATAACACTTACCTCTATTCCTCCGGATAGCACTGGCTTCTCCCCCATATAACACGGGTTTGTACCTCCGCCCCACCCATCCGATAACACTGGCCTTTTTCCCCCACCCCCATATAACACTGGTCCCCCTCCCCTCCATATAACATTGGCCTTCCCCCCCCCCCGGTAACACTGGCCTTCCCCTCCCCCCGGATAACACTGTCCTCTTCCCCCGCCCTCGTATAACAGTGTGTCCTATAAAGGTCTGTTTACTCTTATGTAACACGCTGTTAAATGACTGGAATCTGAGGCTAAAAAGAGGGTAAACTCATAATATGGAATAACAAAAAAAAATTAGACTCCATAAACTTTCTGCAGCTTTAGAAAGGACTTCATTGAACACATTACATTTTACATGTCATTTCATTCATGCTCAATTGTGCTGATTTGAGGACTGCTATTAGAATATTGCGGAAGTACCACTTTACCACTTGACTTTCTAGAGAAATGTTCATTATTTCACACTGGTTTTGAACAAATGTCTCTTACCTGTATTTCGATTTTTTAATCCAATATGTATCGGCTGCATTCCACATCAGGTGGTAATCTATTGCCGTTATGTTGCCACTTTTCTGTGACGTAGAATATAAATGTTTTTTTAATCAAACAAATACTTAGAATAGAGTGTTCTTCTCCTTTCGCTAATGCAAGGAAACACTGTACAGATCCTGGTTCTGTGATCTGGACAATACATTTGGAATGTGTATAGAAGAGCAGAACAGATAAAGAAATTATCAATCAGCAAAATGTAATGAATGGCTCTAAATACCTGCCCGGCTCCGTCCATACCTCACACCCACAGCAGCCAAAATCCTTGTCCAAGCCTTTGTCAATTCCCGGCTGGACTTTTCAAATGCTATCCCCAGCTCTACCATACACAAAATTCAATTCATTCAAAACTCCGCCACCCGGATACTCAACCGCACAAAATTCCAGCAGTCCATTACACCAGTCCTTGCCAGGCTCCACTAGTTCCCAATTACCAAACGGATTGAATTCAGGATCCTGAATTTGAAATCCCTTCATGCCCTTGCACCTCCCTACCTATCTGATTTGCTTACTCCACCACCTGCTGCCTCCGCTTGACCGGGTCCGGCCTCCTGTTCATTCCTCGCCCCCTCCACTCCACCATCAGTGGCTGTGCTTTCAGCCGCTACGCCCTGAAGCTCTGGAACTCCCTCCCTCTATCCCTTTGCCTTGCCCCCTCCCTCCCCACTTTCAAATCCCGCCTAAAGATCTTTTTGATCATATTTACGGTCAACTCCCTCTCCCCCTGGCTCAGGGTCAGACTCTGCCACTGTCAAGTGCACTGGGACGCTACCCCATGTGAAGCGCGCTATATAAATGCAAGTTGTTGTTGAGGTCATTTGTAGTGCTCCAAACTCTTTTTTAAGCTGTGTTTTTACCTACGGGGATATTGGGATGAGGGTTTAGTTAATTGAAAGAAATTCAAGCCTAATGTGTTAAAACCTTCATCTTGTAATTTTGTTGTTAACACACAGAGGATACAGTTCCAAGATACTGGTCGTCATCTTCAAAGCCCTCCGTGGCCTCGTTGCCCCCTACCTCTGTGACCTCCTAACCCCCTACCAACCTGCCCACTCCCTCCATTTAGCAGGCTCTGGCCTGCTTCACGTCCCCGGCCTCGCCCGCCCTTTCATTGGGGGGCGGGCTTTCAGCCACTCTGCCCCCTCCCGCTGGAACTCCATCCTTTAGTACCTCCACCTCGCCCCCTCCCTCGCCTCCTTCAAGACTCTTCTCTTCGACCACCTTCGATTACCTTCCTGCCCTCCACCTTAGACCCAGCTCGGGTCTGAAACACTGACTGTCCAGGGCCTTGGGACAACAACAACAAAATTACTTTTATAATAATAATAATCCTTGCATTTGATATAGCGCTTTTCACGTCTTCTAGACGTCCCAAAGTGCTTCACAGAATAGATGATAAAGTGAATTGACTGTATATTTTTGTGGGCGAAACAAGGCCGCCAATTGCGCAAAGCAGCATCCCACAAACAGTCATGGAGTGAGTGACCAAGTTATTATTTTTCTTTTTTTTGAAGGGATTATTAACCCCCCCCACAAAGTGATCTGCCAATCGACTAACAACCGGGTTCCTACTTACTGCTTACTTACCAGTTTTCGCCCTGCCCTGGATTTGCCCTACCAGGCAACAGCTCTCACCTCTATGCTACAGGAATCGGGAGGGGTGAAGAAGTCAGCTAACTTAACAAAAAGGTTTGCGGTTGCAGAGAGATTCCACAACAAAGCAAACAGTTTAACAAATGAGAAATCAAGCAAACAATATGAATTTAATATGTTTTGAAATGTTCCTGCATATCTCACTTCTGTAAAAAAAAAAAATTTATAGAGCGCCTTTCACGTCGGGAGGACATCCCAAAGCGCTGAACAGTCAGATGTTGGGGCTTGAGCGTGTAGTGTGTATATATATATATAGTATATATATATATATGTAGCATGTGGTGTAGGGCCCAAGCATGTAGTATATATATATATATATGTAGCATGTGGTGTAGGGGTGAGGGAAGGCAGAGACGTAGGAGGGCGACCGAAGGCACGATTGAAGAGAAGGGCCTTGAGACCGGCCTTGAAGGAGGCAAGGGAGGAAGCGAGGCGAAGGGATCGTGGGATGAAGTTCCAGAGTGTGGGGGCAGAGAGGCTGAAAGCCCGGCCACCGATGGTAGGGCGGGTCGGGCGGGAGACATGGAGCAGACTGGAGCCCGCTGAACGGAGGGAGCGGGCAGGTTGGTAGGGACGTCCTTCCGATGTGAAAGGTGCTATACAAATGTAATTTTGTTGTTGTTAATTGTCTAATTTTTCTATTCACAAACAGTTATGAATATTTCATAATACTAGCCAAATATAATTGCTCATTCAGTGAATTGTGATCCAGTGGTTCTGTTTTTACAGGATGTTACCAAATTAACACCACTTTCTCCTGAAGTCATCAGTAGACAAGCTACTATCAATATAGGTAAGTTACTGCATGAGTGTACTCAATTGAAGTTTGATTTGCAATTGTAGATTTTAAAAAAATATAATGGTCCTCTTATACCCTAACCCTAAGTTTAAACAAAAATGTTGAGATAAGTTTATCCAAAATGCTGCAACCTGACTATCTAAACTGAGCAGAAAGCAGGGACCAAAGTCACCTTGTATTCATACGCATCTCTTGGCTTCTGCTCTTGCTGTTTTGGTAGCAAACAATTGGGGTAGGTGGAGGGGGTAAACATCCCCAAAGGTGTACTTGTGCGATAAAATCATAAATTTCACATATGCATCCTCACCACAATGTATTTAAATACCAAAGCTGTGGCTGCATGATGAGCAACACCCAAATGTTAGCACTGTCACCTGTAGGTGACATAATGCACGAGCAGCATCAGGTTGGGTAGAACAGAAGAACCATTTTTCCATGCATTGCTATTGTTGAGGGAACAGCAATCTGGGGTAAAACTGGCTCAAATATCCTGTATTAATGACTATCCTTCTTGAGAACAAAGTAAGTGGGATTTTCTTCAAGCTGAATTGACTCCAAGCTGACGTGCTTGGCAACAGAATGTCGGATCGAATGTGGCAGTCTCATTAGTCAATCTCCTGAGCAGGAGGGTCTGCAGTACTCCCAATGCACTGCTAGTGAAAGACTAACCAACTTGGCTCAACTTTATGACTTGGAAATTGAGACCAGTCACTGGGAGCAAGGATTCTCCCATTCAACTCCTGTTAGCCGTGCAAGCCAAATTCCTAATAGGGAGGGTGGTCCTAGCTGGAAAAGCAGCAGGAAGCTTGCCAGATAGTGTCTTCAATGGTAGGTTAAGTGATTTTAGCTGGTTATGCTCCAGCAATACCTAAAACACGCATCTGGAGTTTCTAAGCTTTGGCTCTTGACAACCTGAGCCTAATATAGTCTGGAATTAGGTAAGGAGGATGCCTCCCTCCATCTGTGTCCATTTCAGGACACACAGATATTTCCACATGCCTTTGCCTGATTTGGGTATTCTTAAGCATGGTGATGGATTTCGAAGTGTGTCTTAGATATGTTACAGATTGTTTTTAAAAAAGGGATCCTCTGCATCCTTAAAGCATGTGGGTCAGAAAGGACTTAACCATGAGTGACTTAAGGCAGGTCTGTACTCTTTCATTATAGCCTGGTCACCCTGACAGGAGCCAGCAAACCCATAGGGCAAAAGCATCAAGATTTTTTAAGTTAGATACTTGAAATATAATGTTTAGCTTGGATGATATATTTTTAATTTATGGGAGTTTTATACTGTGAGTCTTCACTAAATTCCCTTTCTTCGAAAATACTTCCAGCTGGCAAAAGAGGAGACTCTTGTCCTATCTGTCTACCTTACTTGAAGCTGAATGCCAAAGTCCCATATTAAATCCATCCTTATTATTTTGTAAAGCCATTTTGTGGAATTTATATTTAAATCAAGTTTCAAAATGTTGCAAGTCCTATTGAATGGTTAAAAATGTATGAATTCTGACTGATATAATATTGAATTTGGCATTATAACCTAGCTGATGTTAAATATATCAGGCACACCAATGCAAGGTGTTATGTGGGTACTTGAGAAAAGTTTCCAACTTATTTTGCATTACTGAATGGACATAATTTTGACAGTGCCTTCAATGTCTTTTTATTGTTTTCCTTTCCTCCCTCTGCAAATTTTGAAATTTCTATAAAATTTCAACACAGTAATCAGACCAATGTTTTCTGCCCCCCCCCCCCCTTCCAAATTCAACCCATCAAAATTTGATTTAATTTGACAACTTGTTTTATTGTTATCTGGGGAACATTGCTGGCACATATTGGCTGCTGCCTATGATTTTCATTCTGTGAAGTGCTTCAAGATGTTTCTTTTGTATGAAAGTCAATATATAAGCATGTAAGATTTAGGAAATTCTAAACCTATTTAAGAGGTTTTATACCAAAAGGTATTCTGCAGTGCTCGCAACAATAACTTGCTCAGATATGTTAAATCTGAACTCCTGTACAGAAAAAAGTGTTGAAGGATACAATAGTAATGCAGAAAATGTGGAACGATTTTGGAATTCTAGGCCCGTGTGGGAAGCTAACAAGAGTTAGAATGGCCACCGGAACTCTTAAGGATGAGAGGGAAACTGATTTTTGAGCAAGTGTGTGATAAGTCCAACTTAATGCCAGAACTACAGCACTTGCATCACAAATGAAAGCGTCAAGGAGTTGAGGTTGAATGGATACCCAGTGGGTCAGTGCTTCAAAATATATTTAAATAGTGTAAAAGTGTAACAGGGAACTGAATCGTAGCTGTATGAAAATCGAACCTTAGCCATTTTGCAAACGTTGAATTGTTATGTCAGATTTTAGATTTTCAGTCTTCCCTGTTATACACCACACATCATTCTATGACTGATGACAGATTTCATTCTAACCAGTGATAGGAGGTGGCCTGAAGTTCATTTTTAAAAAAAAGATATCTTTGCTCAAGAGTTATCCTCAAAGAGGGTAAAAATCTCAATGTGAACTCAACTTCTCAACATCTAAATTTCAGCAAAGTAAAAGGGGAAGCTGCGATTGGCATTAAGATCATCACAATTTAGAAAAATGTAACATTGCTTTGACCAACTCCAATCTTTGAGAATAGAACCATGCAGTCATGTCTCAACCTCCAACACTTTTACTTGTGACAAAATTATGTTTTTTTTCCTTTAGGCACAATTGGTCATGTAGCTCATGGAAAGTCCACTGTTGTTAAAGCTATTTCTGGTGTTCAAACTGTCCGGTTTAAAAATGAGCTGGAAAGAAATATCACTATCAAGCTTGGATATGCTAATGCAAAGGTAGAGATGAAGTGATTTATTATATTGTTCCACTTTGTGTAAAATTATATACAATGTTTCAGAAAAGTATAAGACTACAAAGGTACCTGCTCCAGCCCTGAATGTCACTACTAATTCAAAATTGTTTTTATTTGCCCAAACTTCTGTTTTTAAATCCTATGTAAGGAAACTTTAATAAATGGTACTGTTTTCAGCCATGATATCATAATTCTATTTATTGTTCATCTTAATAGGCATTCTAAGATGGATAATGTGGAATAAACCCTACTACGTTTCATAGTAATGAACTGATATCAGTTTTGACTCTGGAGTTGAACATTTGTAGCTGAAAGTACCAATATTTGGTAGCACTTTTATGACTAAAATGCATATATGAAATAATTGTTGAATAATTAAATATTGTAAGTGATCTGCAAGTTTTTTTTTGTCAAATATGTTAATATTAAGACAACACTTGACTTTTTTCAAATTAAAAAGGCCATATTTTGCCTTCTAATTTATGTAGAGAAATTACAACCTTAATCAGAATTAATTTAACTTTATTTAGGTCTACAAACTTGATGATCCTAGCTGTGCACGGCCTGACTGCTACCGGTCGTGTGGAAGCAGCACACCAGATGAATTTCCTTCAGATATTCCTGGGACCAAAGGAAATTTCAAGCTGGTCAGGTTGGTGAAACAAAAATGTAGTTTGCTGTGGTTCCAAACGTTAGTTTCTGCATACTGCAAATTGCATTAACTCGGGAAGCATCACCAGCCCTTTTTGTTTTCATCACTTATCATTTTCAGTGGTTACAATATCATTTTTAGCAATTTTTTAGCCCTTTTTCCTTATGCTTTGAATGATTCTGCAATAATTCAAGCTCTATCACTTTGCTAATGGTCAAATTGGAAGCTTTAGTTATGAAACATTATAAAAGAAGCCCTTGACTCTTTTAATTATTGGTGACCTATTAATATAAAGACATTTCAAAGTCTACAAAGTACTTTTAATGATTGTCTGTATAGGGGAGGGACCTCTTTCCTAGCTGTTAAATATCCTTTGTGCATAGCTCAGTTGTTTTGGCAGAAGAATGAGAAAGTTATTGGTCCGAATGCACGTGGAAGAATTGAGTACCATTTTTAAAAATATCCTCCCTTGTTGAAGAAAGCAGGGACTTCCTGGGATTGAACTGAATCTGAAGAGATGAATCTTGCCAGTTCAGTCAGATGCAGAGTAATCCAAGGCTATTGATGGTTTGCAGTCTGCCAATCTACTCCACTATTTTACCTTTAATATCAATTCTTACATTTTTTTTTACGAGTTTCTGCATTTCAGGAATCTGTACCGACTAGTTCTGAGCAATTTATTCTTCAGATGTTTAGGATCAATGTTTTACACTTGTAATCAATTTCTAACATTTTTCCGACCATTGGCATGAGATTAACTGGACAAAAGTTCCCAGGTTCTCTACTTTGCTTTTTCTGAGCAATGGTATGCCATTTGTGATCCTCCAATCCCTTGAAATATTTCCTCCGTAAGGAGGTTTGATAAATATTATTCAGTGCCCCCCACTGTTCAGCACTCCTCACTTTAACCTTCCTCAGCACTCTGGGATTAAACTAATCTGTCGTCCACTAAATTCCATCAACTTTTTGTCTCCCTTGTCCTGCAGTATCTATAACCTAATCATCTGTTGCTTAACTCTACAAAGTCCTAATGAGCATGATGGTCCTAGTTAATAATAATCCTTGTATTTGATATAGCGCCTTATCACACCATCAAGAAGCCTCAAAGTGGGATATACTGTAAAGTAGATTGACTTTGTATATTTTGGGCGAAACACAGCAGCCAGTTTCTGCACAGCAATGTCCCAAAAGTAGCCATGGAGTGAGTGAGCAATTTTTATTTATTTGGGAGGTTTGTTGGTCAGGACAACGGGAGAAACTCCCTTCTCTTTTCAAATAGTTCCAAGGGATTTTACCATCCACTTGAATAGGCCAATGGGACATCAGTTTTACATTTCTTCCAAAGGATGGGACAACTACTTCAAAATAATAGTTTTGTTACCCTGTATTGTAGGCATGTATCTTTTGTGGATTGTCCAGGACATGACATCTTGATGGCTACCATGTTGAACGGAGCTGCTGTCATGGATGCAGCATTGCTATTGATAGGTAATTGCAAGTTTTGATTATTGTGTCTGACTACTTTAACATTAATAATGTTTTGACCAAAGTGAGCTTATATTAGCACTTACTAGCTGGCTAGAATATTGTTAACAGCTATGAAATATTTTTGAATAGTGGGGATCAAAAAAACGAACAATCAAACATAGAAAAACTGCACAGAAAGCAAGTGAAAGAGAAAAATAATTACACTTTTGTTATTAGATCTGGCAGGCTTTTTGTGGGGGTGGGGTGGGTGAATCAAACATAACCTCAATGATCAGACATCAGAATTATGTCTGATTATAATTATAATCATCCTTGCATTCGATTAGCACATTGTCGAGATGTCTAAAAGTGCTTCATAGGATAAACTGTAAAGTGGTTTTTAATTGTGTATTTTGGGGGCAATTGTGGTGGTTTAAATGTGAGTAATCGGATCTATGCGAATGACACCCAACTCTATCTTTCTGCCTCCACCCTCAACTCAAAGACCACTGATGTCCTGACAGACTGCCTGTCGGACATCAAGTCTTGGATGAGGGCAAATTTCCTACAGTTGAACATAAACAAGACTGAGGCCCTCCTGATTGGCTCACGCCAGTGCCTCAGCACCTCAGGCTCTGGTAGCATCAACCTCCATGGTTGCACACTACAACTCACCAAGCCAGTCAGGAACCTAGGTGTCTTGTTCAACCCTCAACTGTCTTCTTCCCCACATCCAAGCCATGGCCTGCTCTGCCTTCCCTCACATCCATAACACCGCCCGACTCTGCCACTACCTCACCCCTCAGGCCACTCTTGTTCATGCCTTCATCACCTCAAGGCTCGACTATGCAAATGCCCTGCTTGTCGGCCTTCCCAACTCCTCCCTCCATAGGCTACAGATAATCTAGAACTCTGCAGCCCGTGTCCTCTCCCACACCAAACTCCGTGACCCCATCTTCCCCATTCTCACCCAACTCCCATTGGCTCCCTATCCTTCAGAGGATCCAGTTCAAGATCCTGGTCCTCATCTACAAAACCCTCCATGGCCTCACCTGACCCTGCCTCTGCGACCTCTTAACCCCCTACCAACCCACCCGCTCCCTCCGCTCAGCCGGCTCCGGCCTGTTCTACGTCCCCCGATCCACCCGCCCCACCATTGGCAAGAGAGCCTTCAGCCACTCTGCCCCCAACCTCTGGAATTCCATCCTCCAATCACTCCACCTCGCCCCCTCCTTAGCCTCCTTCAAGTCCCGCCTCAAAACCTCTTCGATCATGCCATTGGCCACTCCCCTTCCCTCCCTTCCCTTCTCCATCCCTGACCCCATCTCGGGTCTGAAATGCACCTTAGGATGTCCTCCTGACGTGAAAGGCGCTATACAAATGTAATCTTGTTGTTGTAATGCATGGGATGTAATTGGTTCTGAATTTCATGTTGCCACAACCGAACCTTAGGCAGTTCAAGTTTAATGTTTTCAAATTTGATCTATTTGGTATTAAACATTCAATGGAGTATAGACAATTAGAAATGTTTGTATGATTAATTTTGTCTAATCTGTTTTTTCTGTTCCTCAGCTGGTAATGAATCTTGTCCTCAGCCTCAGACTTCAGAGCATTTGGCTGCCATTGAAATAATGAAATTGAAACACATTCTGATTCTGCAAAACAAGATTGACCTTGTGAAGGAAAGTCAGGCCAAGGAGCAGTATGAACAAATTTTAGCTTTTGTGCAGGGTAGGTTCACTGAATTGGAAACATCATTCACATATCTGTTTTGATTTTTTTTGGTCAGCCAGGTGTGAATGGCCATGCTATCATGTCTCCAGTTCTTGCTACTGAGAATTCACAAAAATGGTTTCTATTTGACAGTTTTAGAATCCACAATTTCTGGATTAGGGACTGTGCTGCTTTCCCCTGCTTGTCTATGCTGAGATACCCAACACCACGGGTTGGCAGATGGAAAGGACCCCAAAGTACACATTTGGGTATTGCTGGATTTGAACACCTCATTCTATCGGGTGTTCATTTACTGGGTTGGAAGGGACAAGTGGGAGGGAATCCTGTCTGGTGATGTCCTTCCCCCACCAACTTGGAGCTTGTTTGTAATGCAGGGCAGAAATTAAACCAAGACGTACATAATTGTTTCCAAGTCACAGCTTTAATTTTCTTGGGAACTTCTGTATTGGCTAGTGGGCCTAAACCTGCAGTACCAGGTTATTAAGCCGGTTGGTCAATTAGCCCCATGTAGTCAGAAAAAAACAGTAACTATTGTAGCTGGAGGGGAGAGAGCATTGTCTACTCCCCTGTTGAACACAATATAAATTTAACATTAGTTTCTGTGAATCAAAACAATAGGTTCTGCCATTTTAATTAAACTATATTGAGCAGATGGAAGCACTATTCATTTAATATAGCAAATGTTAACTAAGATCGGGACTATTTCTGAATGATTATATTAAGATATTATCCCCAAATAAAATTATCCATTTAATATCTAAGCAAGACCAATGTATATGTTTTAAACAGCTCTATTACTATGAAAACAATTGTTTGGTGGTTGATGAGAGGGGAGAGGGATTAAAACACCATGCCTGCTTAAATATCAGGTATAGTTATATTGTCATCCCTTGACTGCAGGCCATTCACTGCTAAATAGATTTGCTATGATAGAATTAAGATGTGGAACAGTGATATGTTAGTTTGCGGCATGCTGTGTATATAAAAAAAAATGCTGAATTTCTTGCTTTAGTAAACAAAATAATTCCAACAGGGAATCCTTCACGTGGCCTAATGTAGTTTTGTGTTTTTATGTATAGGCACAGTTGCAGAAGGGGCACCAATTATTCCAATTTCAGCACAGCTGAAATATAACATTGAAGTAGTATGCGAATATATTGTAAAGAAAATACCAGTCCCTGTCCGAGACTTTGTATCAGAGCCGAGGCTTATTGGTAAGTGCCTACAAAAATGTATATTAGCATTTTTAACAATAAGATGTTCTGTTCTTACACACAGCTTAGTTTTCACATTCCTTTCACCAATGCTATAGTGAGTATGAATCTTTGAAACCTCTTTGTTGAAAACTTGGGACAAATTTGGATAATCTATTATCCATTCAGATGTCCAGCTAGCATGAGTTTTGATTCCACTGAGTTAAATGTTAAATCAGTGTACAGGCATGAGAGTTTTCTTAAAACTGGGTTCAATTGGCTGCATATGAACTAGATTCAACAACAAGATTACATTTGTACAGCGACTTTCACGTTGGGAGGACGTCCCAAGGCACTGGACAGAGGACAGCATTTCAACCTTTCTTAGTGAGACTTGTGAATGAGATGTCATACACAAATTGACAGTTTGGAGGGAAAACTGACAATCGCTTCACAGAAGTTTTTTGCCCACTCAAAAGGGAGTGTTAGAAATTATAGCAAAGACATATATAAAGAAGATGTCATCGCATTCATCAATTTGCAGGATGTGTATTAACTCCTGAATTAAAACGAGACCCATGGGGAGTCCTGTTGAACTATTGTCTTCTCTGTAATACTTATAAAGTAAATTAATGTTATCTTGTATCACAATTATGGCCTAATTTTAGGCTACTATGCCATTAATTAAAACTGCAACGCTTTATTATTGGGTCATACCTACTCATTCCAGTTCATGTTCAGAAGCTGTAGAATGTGTAAAGGCTTGAATCTATACCGAATAGAAGGTTAAAGGCTTGATTTCCAGTCTCTGGTCTTAGTTAATTTCAGCTGGGCAACAATTAAATGCACCTTCTAGTGGCCGTTCAATACCCCATGAACCTAAGATCTTCCTATCTGCATGACTAATTCTAAATGACTTGATGCATTGGGAAAGGCTTTTTTTTATTTGTTTACATTTTTGTGCCAATAGTTATACGATCCTTTGATGTCAACAAACCCGGCTGTGAAGTAGACGATCTGAAAGGAGGTGTGGCTGGTGGCAGTATACTGAAGGGAGTATTGAAGGTATAAATTCTTTAAGCAATCTGGAGATTGTAACTGGGGTTAATATGATTGGAAATTGATAATTTGTTAAAATTTGATAAAATCATTAATTTGATGATCTAGCCGCTAAAATGTTGAAACTGTAAAATTGATTTTTAATTTTTTATTTGAAAACTTCTTTTAATGTACAGTTACAGGGTATCTGTAAAACGTCTGAATTGTTGCTGATAGCTTGCAGTTGTCACCCTTAGAAATAATGTGTTGTTGCATCTCTATCAGTTGAAATGGTGCTATACTTGTTTTTCACAGGTAGGACAGGAAATTGAAGTTCGACCTGGTATTGTATCAAAAGACCACGAAGGCAAGCTGATGTGCAAGCCCATCTTTTCCAAAATCGTGTCACTGTTTGCAGAGCACAATGACCTACAGTTTGCAGCACCTGGTGGCCTTATTGGTAAGAAGGATCCGTTATTTTAAAATATTTGCCGTACTTCTAACTTAGAATTAACATTCTGACGCTACAATAGTTAGGAATTTAGTGCCACAAGCTGAATGTCTGCCAGAATACATTGTTGTTTAATTAAGTATATTTCAAACCATGTTTAATATTCCTTTCTATAACGAATGCTCCTGCAATCGGTAATGTGTCCTCCGGATGCCCAACTTGTATTAATAATAATAATAATAACACTAGAGGGACATAACTGGCTTACCCAGATATTATGGGTATATAAGTAACATGGTGCAATTTTAGAAACACTTAAGAAAATATTCAACAACAACAACTTGCACTTATATAGGGCCCTCCACTCAGGGCAGTGTCTCAAAGCGCATAACAGTGCCGGAGCCTGACTCCGAGCCAGGGTGTGGGGTGAACAGAAGCACGGTCGAAAAGGAAGGTTTTCAGGCGGGACTTGAAAAAGGTGGGGCAAGGCAGAGGGATTGAGGGAGAGTGTTACAATGTTTCCGGGCGTAGTTGTTAAATGCATGACGAGGAGGTGACATGCATGCACGGGGGTTTCAGCTGCATTTGGGGTAAGGTATGGTTGGAGGCGGGCAGTGTGTCGGAGATGGAGGAAGGCGGTCTTAGTCAGGGACCAGATGTGGGGAAGGAAGGGCAGCTGGGGATCGAACCGGATACCTGGATTCCACACTGGTTCGGTGAGTTTGAGGGAGAGCCCAGGGAGGGTTTCAGTACTAAAGATGCATAGTTGTCATCTTCTCATTCATGAAATCAAAGTCTCAATGTATTTTCATTGGCCATTATGTAATTTTAGAGATTGTCAGAGTAGGAAGGAAAGCACAATTGTATTCAAAGACTTATTTGCTTTAAAATATTTTGTTTCAGGTGTTGGAACGAAAATTGATCCAACGCTATGCCGTGCTGATCGTATGGTTGGTCAGGTGCTTGGTGCAGTGGGAGCTCTTCCAGAAATCTTCACAGAACTGGAAATCTCTTATTTTCTTCTCAGGCGATTGCTAGGTGTGCGTACAGAAGGAGACAAGAAAGCTGCAAAGGTGCATGTTCAATACATTTGTAGGAACAGGAGTAGACCTTTCAGCTCTGTCCAGCCTAACCACTATTTATTAAATTTTGGCAGCTCTTAAATTATGTATTCAAAAAAACTCATGTCGTCAATGGAAATTGTGCTGTGGAGAATGATTTAAATCTGTCCAAGACAGTCTTAATTTGTTTATTAATTTGTAAAAGATTCTGATATATCTGGTTAATTCATTTCTTTGAAGTTCAAATAGAATGCTGATCACACTTTGGCATTTTGTTGATTTATTTTTGTTTGGAAATTTTTTTTAGTTGTGATGGAGGTTTTATTTTATGTTAACAGGTACAAAAACTGTCCAAAAACGAGGTGTTGATGGTAAATATAGGATCACTTTCTACTGGAGGAAGAGTCAGTGCAGTGAAAGCTGACTTGGGTAAGATAGTACTCACAAACCCAGTGTGTACAGAAGTTGGAGAAAAGATTGCTCTTAGCCGAAGAGTAGAGAAACACTGGCGGTAAGTACATTATTGAACCGGTGAGATTTTCCAAAATTGTTTTGTATATCAAATGCTGGGATTATTATTTGCCTTGCAGATAACGTATGTTTTTTTGAATGGGCAAGTAAGTCGAAAAGACTAACAATAAGATAATGTGGAATATATGACAATTTTAGTTTTGCAAGTGAATGGAAAAAAATGGATTGCACTTGATCAACCAACTGAATGCTCTATTTATGTTGTCAGCAGTACCCTTATGCTGGTTTTAGATTACAAGAGGAAAATCCACCTCTGGGCAACTCTTAATGAAAAACAGCTGTTTTTTCTGGGGCCATATTTGGGAGAATACTCTTCAGAGTCTCTTGTTGCAAGTGCAAACAGGAGATCAAACTAGCAAAAAAGATTGACACTGCGATAATCAAATGCAAGGATTATTATTATCAATTACATCATCAGAATCTCAGGCTTCTCAGAATCGGATGTTATCGGCAACTACCGCAACACCATCACCAATACGTGAACAAAGCCACCATCCGTTATCCAAATACAGTATTAGAAATGTTGGGAGAAGATGACGGAAGCAAAGTTGCCAGATATCTCCCGGCCTCTTCCACCTTTAGTTCAGTGGAAAAAAATTGTTATTTTTAAAAAAAACTAAGGATTTGGGACATGGGCTTCTGATGTCATAGCTGTAGAATTTTGTGTGTATGCAAAACTTAATTTACCACAAACTCCTGGAAGTACAGTGGCAGTGCAAAAGCGGCAGAGGCTTGAAATGCAGCAGCACCTTCAGTTTGGAAGTGTGTTTTGAGCCTCCGGAATCAGAGTTTAAAGGTGATTTACATTTTGTGTGGAATTTGAGCAGCAAAGACTTAATTGATCTTTCCTTTTTCCCCCACATAGTTTAATTGGCTGGGGACAGATAAGAAGAGGAGTGACGATAAAACCAACACTGGATGATGAATAAAGATGGAGAGTGTGAGATCAATGAAGAGGGTTGTTTGCAGCAGCATACATACTGTTCAATTCTACATAAATATTGTGTAAAACGTCTGGTATACCAGTCAATTTGGGAAACGTGAACCTTTTTTCAGTTTTTAAAATTTTCAGATATCGCAATGACAAAAATATCTAATTTATATTTGAAGAGAAGTTGCGTTTTCAACAAGACTAGAGCTCACTCAGTACGGTCTGTCAGCACTGGCAGTCAGTAAATATCATAAACCATTAAAAAAAATTGAAATTTAAGAGTCAGTTTTGGGTGTAACTTTCTTTCTCTCCTTCCCATACTGTATTCTTGCTCCTTCCATATTCGTTGCATAATATAGTTACATTTTACTGAGGGGGAGCCATCTAACGTGGCAGATATGACAAGCTGAAATGCGTAGATTTTGTGTTCCAAGGAAAGAATCGAAGCTATCATTTCATTTGTCAAATTTACTTTCAGTCCATTTGTGCAAACTTAACATACAAAAAGCAATGTCAAAAATATATACAATTTCACTATTTTTTTAGTTTGACCAATACAACGGGAAGTACTTATTAATCTGGTATGTTTGGGCTTCGTGCACAGTGAATAAAATCATTAGTGGGATTTTAAAAAAAGGACCGTTGAATCTCCCATTTAATCTTTAGAATATCAACCTGTCTTCCATTATTCAGCGCCTTGGGACGTTCTCCCGACGTGAAAGGCACTATACAAATGTAATTTTGTTGTAGTGGTTTCTTAAATTAATAGTGTCTAGACCTCAATCACTTTCCCTGCAAGCTGATTCCAGCTGTTGAGGTAAAGTCAAACACAAGTAGTGATTATAAATCATCAAATTCTTTTTGTTTTCACTTCATTTCTGCGAGTACCTTCTTGAAGACACAAAACATGTTTTCTCTCAAACCTATAACGTACTGATTTCTCCAGGTAAAAGTGATAGCTCAAACTCCATTTTGGACAAGGGAAACCACAGAAGTTTTATACAGGCTTTTTTTTAGATTAAATCTTAAATGCAAGAAAAAACTCCTTCACCGAAGTTATTCACTAAGGTTTCAAATTGATATAGTTCAAGATTCTAGTATTTCCACTCGCACCTCTCACGACCTGCCCACTGTTTAGCTGGATTTCTCTCCTACTGTGGCTTGTTCCTTATCTATCCCTAGCATTTCCCATATATATATATATATATATAATCACTGCCCAATACACTACAAGCTGAAACTGAATTCACCCAATTAAAGGCAAAGTACTGCAGATGCTGGAAATCTGGTATAAACACAACATTCAGGTTTATGACTTTTCGTCAGAACAAAACTCAACTTCGTGAGTTCTAAAGAAAGGTCATAGACCTGAAACGTTAAGCTAATTTTCCTCTTTCCACGGATGCTGCCAGACCTACTGCGTGTTCCCAGCAACTTCTGTGTTTTCACCCAATAATTGATTGAAACACACAACAGAATGTTTGACACATTCTGGGAAACGAGTTGTTTGCCATATTTTCAAATGTGCAAGATCAAAGTGTGCATCAATTACCACAGGCATAAGCATGGAAAGACACTTAATGATTCCACTACCTTTTGATATGTAATTTGTGGATTAGCTGCCTGAATCTCCCCAAAATTGAACAAATTCAAGACAGTCCTTACTCTTTCTTGTTTTGAGAAAATACTATACGAAAATTGCCTCATCTTATCAAAAGTGGCCTATTGTCCTTCCTCAGGTCATTTGGGTTATGGTTTTCATGATTTTGTTTTACCATCTTCTAAGGTCTTAAGTTTTACTTAAAATTCTAGATCAATGGAGCAGGGAAACAAAGCTATCTTGAGTGTTATGTTTTTTATATAGTCATGAACAGGACTAAAAGTATGGGAGGGAAAGGTTGCCTTGTAATGTTTAAAGCCATTGTTAATTGCACTCAATATAAGGTAACCAAAATGTGAATGTGCAGTTTCAGAGATGGGAGGTTTTGCCTACCTATTGTACTCTTACAGTAGTAGTTTATTATATGGCTATTAAAAAAGTTCATTTTTTCCCCATTTTCTTAATTGCCCAATTGCTTTCCAAACCTTGATGCTTTTGAATAGAAATCTACTTTAAAAACAGCGAATGTTTGAAAATATGCTTGTGAACAAGTCATTTCGCTGCAAATCTGTTTATATCTCAATGTAACTGGTTTAACAAAAATGTGAAATAAACCATATTGGTAGAGAATTGTTTTTTTGCCAGTGACACAAGTTTAAAGTGAGTCACTTTTCCATCAAACAATTATCATTACAAATGGTGAGACTAACAACATTCCTCCAAGACTTATTTGGAAGTGATTTCTGTCTATTCTGTAGTTCCATTTTGCATCCAACAGAGAAAAATATGATCTTGAAGAATGCAGGCCAAAACACAGGGAGGAACTCCGTTCTCTTTTCTAATACTGCCATGAGATATTTAACTTTAACCTGAAGAGAGGCAGCTGGTATGTTAATGACTCGTCTGAAAGAAGGCACCTTTAAGAATACAGCACCCCCCCCCCCCCCATAATCTGGGCTGGTGTCATCCTAGATTATGAGCTCAGGTCTCAAAGTGGGGCATGAATGTACAACCTTCTAACTAAGGTGAGAGTGCAAGCAATCAAGTTATTCTACACTAAAATCCATCCTATCACTTGGTTCATCTGTTTAATTGGTCCAGATATACCTGAATGCTATTTTCTTTGTATTCAATTTCCCACTTATGGCTTACCATTATCAGCAATTTTTATATCAGAAGAAGTGCAATAAGCCATTCTTTATATCCACACTAAAGTGCAATTAAGCCATTTTTTCACATTTCATGGTGAAGTTCTCTTGGTCACCAGTGTTTTGCCTAAGATAAGTGTTTGAGAGATGGTGGTCACAAACAAACCAATCAAGTCACTTCAAAATAAAATAAGCACTTTATTCAAACCATTACTAAATGAATAACAGTACACAACCAATCCAAAGAACCCGGTCGTGCCTTTTTCCTTCAACACACAGACTTCTTGTGGGCAGTTATACCAACCAATTGCACTACAATAGCAACATGAATTAATATGGATCACAAAAAGGGTAATGATCTGGAAATAAATAAAATTGTATTTAACATTGAATGTTACATAGGCACATCTATGCCAATTATCAAATTACTCATAATTTGGCACCTGTAATTTTTTTAAATAAAGTTACAGTTGATGCAAAAAAGAAATGCTTAAGAAAAAGAACACTACCTTGCTTTTTACGTATGTTATTAATAGGATTCATTTGAAGATGGTTATACTACTGACGATTAATGGTGCAGACAGCAGTACAAAAGTTTATTATAAAGCTCATCCAACAGACCAGTCATCAGTGGGTGACCCCCACACAATGAACTGGTTATTTTTGCGGAAACTGGGTATTCATTTCAGGCCTTGTATTTCTGTATCCCTGGTCTTCAATGTGCTGATCATGAGGAAGTAAGTGGAAGGGAAGATGGTAGTCAAGTCACCCTTTCCTGTATTATAATAATAATAATCCTTGCATTTGATATAGCGCTTTTCACGTCGGGAGGACGTCCCAAAGCGCTTCACAGAACACACTGTAAAGTGAATTGACTGTATATTTGTGGGCGAACGCGGCAGCCAATTGCACACAGCAATGTCCCACAAACAGTCGTAGATTGAAAATGACCAATTTTTTTATTGTTTTGTTTTTTTGGAGGGATTATTATTAGGCTCTGTGTGGAGTAAGGAAACTTGCCCAAGGTTTCGCCCTCTGCCTGGAATTGAACTCAGGTCTCTCGCTTGCAAAGCGAGTGCTCTAACCACTGAGCTACAGGACTCCACAAATTCTATTCCACTGGCCGCTGGCTCAGGGCAGCAGTGGTGGAGACAGTGATCAATTGCCCATTCACTTAGATACAATTTGCATGACAATGGAGATTGGAAGGAGGGATAAAGGGTACAAAGTAATTCTTAACTGAACCAACTTTTCACAGGATAAATTGCTGATTAGTAGAACAAATGAGGAAGGTTCATGCTTGAATTAACATTGGCACTAAGCAAAACAATCATATCAAGACGTTATCTTAAATTAATAGCATGCACATAACAGGTACTTGGTTCTTTATTAACAAAATCACTAATAATAATAATCCTTGCATTTGATATAGCGCTTTTCTTGTTTTCTTGTTCTCGACGTCTCAAAGTGCTTCACAGAAGAGACTGTAAAGTGAATTGACCGTATATTTGTGGGCGAAACGCAGCAGCCAATTGCGCACAACAGTGTCCCACAAACAGTCGTGGATTGAAAATGACCAATTTATTATTGTTTTATTTTGGAGGGATTATTATTAGTCGTGTGGAGTAAGGAAACTTGCCCAAGGTTTTGCCCTGCCTGGAATTGAACCCAGGTGTCTCGCTTGCAAGGCGAGTGCCTTAACCACTGAGCTACAGGACTCCACTACTTGTGACAAATTGATACAAGTTGAATTTTGACATAAGGAAATGTTATTTACCAAGTCCAGTTATCTGATTGACAAAACTATCTGGTGTAATACAAGGTTATTAATGGCCCTGTATATACAACAATTCTAATGCCTCATCTAACAATTAAATTGTTTTACTCCCTTTTTAGAATTGCATGTTTTTACTAATACAATTTAAAAATGACTATTGATTTATACACAAGTCTGAAATCTGGAATATATTAATAAACCAGAAGGCAAAATAACATTTTAAACTTATAGTTGCTTCAAGTCCCACAAGGACCAAAATTTGTACAACTGCAATGGCTAACATTGAATTGCTGTGGCCACCAAAACAATGGCAACATACATTCACATTATGGGGGGGGTGTCTTGTGCAAAATAAACCATCAAGTGGCAGCAGACAAAAATAATTCATGATTATCTCAAGCATGATGAACTAGTTCACCTGTCTCAAGAATATTTTTGTTTTGTTTAAAATGATTCATATACACCACTGGGTATTCTGTTTATGCAATGTATTTTCCTCATGAGCATCTGAAAAAGTAAACTACTCAACCACAAATAACAATGGTTTCCCATTTGTAACCCAAACACTTTCTGCTGTCAAGTAATGAGATTGTTAGATTTGATCAATGCTATCACTGCCTTCATTGTTTTGGGGGTGGTCTTACTAGCTGTGAACTACTATTGCATTAGTTGTACAATTAAATATTGTATTACATTGCAGATGAGGATAAATAAGGGTTTTGACTGATTGAGAAGCACTGTTAAGAAATGGTGTTCCATTCTACATCAGTTATGTTTTGACTAGGTGGAATAACAATAGGGTGCAGCTGTTGTGAAGTCAACAAACACATATAACAGTAAATACATTCATAAATATCATTTGAAAAAATAATTTTGATACACGTTTGTCTGGGTTCAGTCTTCAGACTTGATATCAGGATGGTCTCTGACGTTGAAATATAATGCACTTTACATTTCTTTCGCACCTTTCAACAATCGCTGGCATTTATATAGCGCAGGTTAGCATCTTGGGTCACTTGACAGTGATGGAGTCAATAGTAAAATATAATTAAATAGTAATCTTGCATCAGTTATAGCACCTTATCACATTATTAAAACGTCTGAAGTGCCTTACTTGATGGTTTGCAATTATTTATATGTATTACTTGTGTTTGTAGGCAGAGTTAGGGAATTCTCTTTAGGACCAAAGATGTAATAATGACATCAGTAGGTATGTTCTTGCAGGATATACATAAAATAGCTTTTTGTGCCATTGTGCACTGGAAGTTTGCAATCTTCATTGCAGCAGGAATCAGCAAGGTTAGCACCCCAAGCTCAGTTGTGTGAGCTGCTTTCTGATGTAAAATCTTCCTGATGTGAAAGCTGCTATACTGTATAAATATAAATTGCAGCTGCCGATACTCTTTACAGTCGAGTAGCCTAACAATTAACACTCAAGGCACACGGATTAAGTATGGGGAATGGGGTGAGGAATCAAGACAGCATCCACAACTTAATTTTCTAAACCCTCTGAGATGCTACCCTGTGAGAACCGCACTGTCTTCACCGGGAGACACCGCCCGAGTGGGGTTATTTGTTTCAATGAATAAATGCAAGTTGTTGTGCTCCTCGTATGAAAATAATCAAACACGGGAGGCGGGGTAGGAAATAAATAAGGTTGAACATACGAGAACAGCATGGGATTATATAAACTACCTGTGGCTTTTTTTAAAAAGAACAATATTCTTGGGAGTAAAGCATCTGTAAGTCAATGGTAGATAAAATGGTGGACGGGGAGGGGGGGAGAAAAGGGCGGGAGGGAAGGGCGGCCGCCATTGCGATCGTATGCTGTAACCTTTCGTCCTTTATCCTTCGGTGTCCTGAAGACGCAACAAATAGCTCACAAAATACACCAAAGCACTTTAATGAGTCGGACTCATATGTTCCACCGCCATTCTCCATCCCCGTCCTGGAGACGGCGGTGTCCGGGTTTCGAGACGAGATTTTTGTTTAAAAAAAATGTACGCTCGAGCTTCCCGCTCCCGGAGTAAATAACCGTCGCCTCTTCACCGGGAGGCACTGCCCGAGTTGGGGTTATTTTTCTTTAATGAATAAAACCTAAGAGAATAATTTAAAAATGAGCTCGTTATGTTTTTGGGGCGTTGTTTCTGGCGGGGCTCACGCAGCTCGCTCCCCGCCGCCTCCATTATTATTTACAAACACGTTCCGGGCTTCACTTCCCCCCCGACCTCGGCGTGACAAGGCGAGGGGCCTGGAGGCGGCTGACAGGCCGACGAGAGAGAGCGCGATGGAGAAGGGATTGGAAAGGTTCCCGCACCGCTCGGGGCTGCCTGTCAGACTCCCTCCCGGCCTCTGGCCTGACTGCATTTGCTTCTTCCGCATTTTCCTAGGGGTTAGGCTCTGACGTTACGTATTACGGCGGCGGGAGCGGGGAGCCGAGCCGAGTCAGCCCCTCCTCCTCCTCCCCGCAGCCATCAAACAACAAAGCCTGATTGGCAGGGCTAGGCCCGACCCGACCCGCCAGCGCTCGCTCGGCCCAGCCAGGAAGGAGTTGAAAACGTCCCAAAATCCAGCCATTGTCGGGCGGATTCACTTACCAGGTAAGGGCAGGCCCTCCCCGCGCTCCGGCCCGCAACGTTGACCGCTCGGCCGGGTCCCCCTCCGCGAACGGCGCCGGGGCCGCTGGGGGTTGAAGCCGCAATCCGCCCCCTCCCCCTCTACGGCGGTTGGTAGGCCCCGAGGAGGCCGCAGTTAGGCCTCAAGCGGCCGGGACCCCGGGCGGCGGCTGACAAACCTCGACAACAAAGCGCGCGCCGGTGTGTGTGTGTGTGTGTGAGCGGAGGCCGCTCGAGCTCGTTTAAAATTTTAAAATGTAACCGTCGGTTCGAGACGTTAAAGGCGGCGGCCACACGTGTGTTTGATTTGACGGCGGGGCTGAGGGTTAAAGGTGTATGAGACAAGAGAGTGAGGAGCATCGGGCGGTGATGGCGGCCATAAAATGTCGGCGGGGGAGGGCGGCAGGAAGGCGCCGGCCGCCATTTTGGCGGTGAGCAGGTTTTTTTTTCAATTCTCGTCGCAGTGGAGTTGGCCCCAGGGTCACCTGCGCCCAAGGAACCGGAGCGGAGTAGCGCTTTTTCTCTCTCTCCTCCCCACCCCACCCAAATGATGGGCGGTTTACTGTTAAAATTGTGGGCGTCGGTGGCGGCGACGGTGACTTTATGTATTTGGCGCGCGCAAATAGTAAAGCCGTCCGTCTCCGCCCGGCGCCTCTTTTCTCCCTTTCTTGTCCGGCTCACACTAGTCTGTGGCCGGCCGCCATCTCCCTCGTCATTGTCGTCACGGGCTGACACGGCGGCAGCTTTGGCGCCCAGAGCAGAGGATCATGTTGTACTGCAGGCAGTCCAGGTTAACCCGGTCTGGCCATGGCACTGGCCACGGCGCCCTGCTCAGCACTGCACATTAAACACGTTCCTCACAGATTCAACGGTGCACCTTGATTCTAGTGAGCCGTGTACAATTTATAACCCATTAAACCTCCTGCAGATTTTATACCATTCGGCTTGTAAGTTTTGTATCCTGTGAGCCTCCTGCAAGTTTTATTCTAATAATGCTTGCGTTTGATATAGCACCTTATCGTGTCTTCCAGACATCTCAAAGCGCTTAACAGAATATACTGTAAAGTGAGTTGGTTATATTTTGCGGGCGATTGATTTTTTTTGTTATGTTTCTGTCATTACATCTCCTGTAAGTTTTATATCATTACCCCCATATGTTCTATATCTTTAAACCTGTAAATTATACTTTAAACTTCCTTTGTATTTTATATGATTAGTCATCCTGTACATTTTTATATCATTAAATACACTGCATGCTTATATCATTAACCCCCGTCTTATATTTTCAATCTCCTGTACATTTTTCCATTTCATTTATAGTATTGTATACTAACGCAGATATAATATTGTATACAACAACGAAACATCTTTCACACCAGGAGACGTCCCACGGCGCTGGACGGACGGAGTTTTTCGGACCCGAGCTGAGGGTCGGGGCGGGGGAGGGCAGGGGGGAAGCAGGAGATCAAAGGGGAGGGTCTTGCGGTGGGTCTTGAAGGGGACGAGGCGGAGGGACTGCGGGATGGAGTTCCAGTGGGTGGGTGCAGTGGCAGAAGGCCCGCCTGCCGATAGTGGGGCGAGAAGGCAGGGTCCGTGACGCAAGCCGGAGCCCCCTGAGCGGAGGGAGCAAAGAGGGTGGTAGGGGGTTGGGAGGTCAGAGAGGTAGGGGGGAGCAAGACCATGGAGGGCTTTGAAGGTGAGGACCAGGATCTTGAACTGTACCCTCTGTGATGGGAAGCCAGTGGAGTCGGGCGAGGATGGGGGTGATAGGGCCGCGGAGCCTAGTGAGCGAGAGGACACGGGCTGCAGAGTTCCAGATGCTCTTCAGCCTATGGAGGGAGGAGTTGGGGAGGCCAACAAGCAATGAGTTTGCATAGTCAAGCCTCGATGTAATGAAGCCGTGTATCAGGGTTTTGGAGGCCTGCGGTGTGAGACAGTGTCAGAGCCGGGCGACGTTGCGGAGGTGGAGAAAGGCAGAGCGGGTTATGGTGCAAATGTGGGGTAGAAAGGATACTATTCCAGGCAAGGGACATTTTTATTCTCTTGTCCATTGTATAGTACATAACCCATATCCCTTCTTTACAACGACAACAAATTGCATTTTGTATAGCGTTTTCACATTGGAAGGAGGGTATAATATCCATATATTTTATGTTATGTCTGTGGCAATTTTATATTATATCTTGTCCATTATATATTATACTAGCTGTACCCGTTGCAGCTGTGTTTGTCTGTTTTCTAATATAATCATGAATATATCTTTGTCTATTGCAAAGTATTGTTGTATTCTATCCATGATATAATATTCTACTGCACATCCTTTTTATTATATCTCTGGCATATTTTCCCCCACAATCCATTATTTGATTATATATTTTCCATTGCATTAGATTGTGTCTATCCGTCAAATGAAATGTTAATCCAAGGTCATGTTCAGGTGATTGTGAAAGGTCCCATGACCTGACAAACAGTTCACCAGGTAAATTGGTGAATCACTTCATGGCTGTTTGTGGAACACTGCTATGTGAAAAGTGACTCCCATATTTGCTTACAAATGCACTCGTTCACAAGACAGGAATTAATAATGAAATGATTTTGGGACATTTCAATCTTATAGACACTATATTGATTGCAAGGAATATTATTATAATACCTCTGTCTGTTTGTATTATTAAGATATTTTTATGTCCATTGTATTATTCTGTTTTCTATCCCACTTATTTTATAACTATTTCATCCTCATAGAATTCGTACAGTACAGAAGGAGGCCATTTAGCCCATCATGACTGTGCTGGGTCTTTGAAGGAGCTATCCATTTAGTTCCATTCCCCCACTCTTTCCCCATAAGCTTGATTTTTTTTCTTTTCAAGTATATATCCAATTCCATTTTGAAAGTTATTATTGCATCTGTTTCCACCACCCTTTCAGGCAGTGCATTCCAAACCTTAACAACTCTATGGGTAATAAGAATTCTCCTTGTCTCCCATCTGGTTCTTTTGCCAATTATCTTAAATCTGTGTCATCTGGCCGACCCATCCTGTGTCCTCTTACCTACCTACCCACCCACCCACCAGTGGGAACAGTTTCTCTTTGTTCATTCTATAAAATCCGCTCATAATTTTGAACACTTCTATTAAATCTCCCCTTAACCTTCACTGCTCTAAGGAGAACAATCCCAGCTTCTCTAGTCTCTCCACATTGAAGTCCCCCATCCCTGGTATAATTCTGGTGAATCTTCTTTGCAACCGCTACAAGGCCTTAGCATCCTTCCTAAAGCGTGGTGCCTTGAATTGGACACAATACTCTAACTGAGGCCTAACTAGTGACCATTGTTTTATGTTGAATTTTCCTATTGGCCCAGGAAATGTCCTTATGTCTATTGCATTACAGTGTATCGTCTTTCTGTATTAGGAGTAGATTCCCTATCCTAGCACATTATATGATAAAATGTTACCTACAGATTCAAATGAAGGGGCTGCTCATATCATTGTTTATTGGATATTGCTTGCCTGCCACGTTTGTTTATATAACCACTTTCACATAATTTCTAATCCAGTCTATTTTGCTAAGCCCTTTGAGATGTTGTTTTTACATGAAACAAACAAAAAAAGTAAGATTATAATTCTCATTCCTCAGCTATATTAAATTAAATATCCTCCTGCCTCTGTACATTGTACTATTATTCCCCTGTGTTTACCATTACTATAATCTTCAAAACAGTACATTGTTTTGCATTCTACCTCCTGTATATGATAGTATTGAATCCAATGTCCTCCTTTGCACTATATTATATATTCAGTTCCTCAAGACATTCTAAAGTTGTAAAGTCTGTCTTCTGGGAAGCCTACATACACAATGTCGAATTACAAGATCTCAGCTCAGCAAAGTTCTCTTTGACACCCTCTAGTATTTTGCCCAAGTTCTCATTTTTGAGCCTTGACAGCTGGTAAGCTGTCTGACCATTGGGATGTAAAGGCAAGGCTGTCTCTTTTCTCACACAATATCTGCATGCACACTCACTTCTGTCAGAGGTCTCTAAATAGAGATGGCAAATTGCTCCCTTTCCCAACCCATGGACATTAAGGTCAATTGTAATATCCCTAATTTTGCTGAGATCATTACCAATCATGAATTAAAACATCAATTATCTTAAATGGCGGGCCAGGCTCGAGGGGCTGAACGGCCTACTCCTGCTCCTATTTCTTATGTAAAACCTCTGCTACCCCGACTGGAAGGGGCTATATAAATGCAAGTTGAAGATGTTGTGCTTTCAGCCTGTATTGCCTGATGCTGCACAAGGTGTACCTTTGCCCACTCGACCATAAAGTTAAAGGCAAAGTGTTCAAAGTACTGTATATACATCTTGAATATAAAACAATTGAGTATAAACTGAAGTACATTTATGAGTAAGGTGTTTTTAGTACACTTGCAAACATTTAGCCCATCAGTTGTAATATTTTTTTCCGGCACTTGATGTCAATATTGTACTGGCAATTACATATTATCTTCATGTTGCTGAGAAACTGCATGCTTATCAGTTTTCAACCTGCAGCCTGAATTTGTTTTCATGGTTTGGTGCTGCATTTTGTAGTGTTTTTACTTACCAGCTTTCAAGGAGTCAATGGAAATACCCTTTTTCAAACAGTGTTTTACAAGCCATAGACTTATATGATATATGATAGATTATATATGATAGATATAAATATCATTGAAGACTTTTTTTTGTCTGAACTGCAGTTCAGACAAAAAAAAGTCTTCAATGATATTTATAGGGTCTAGTGGTTTCAGGCAATATCTGCCCACTTGTTATTTCACGTATTTGGGAAGTTGAAGGCAAAGGCTCATCTTGTAAATTGAATTACTTATTAAATTGCACTTTTCCCAAAATTATTTCATTTAACTTCTTTGCACCAATCTTTGGCTCATAGAATGGATATGCCAATGTCATTGTGTAACAATTGAATGAGACTGCACGTAGTGACTTGCTATTAGAGTTAAGAGAAAAATACATCCGCCAGCCTGCCTCCACTTAGCTTTTGTTTTGCTTAATATTAAATATTAATATCAAATATTAATTTTGTGGATTTTTAAAAAATCATATCCATATTTTGGCAAAGCAGTTCTACTGTCATAATTCCTCTGGGCAAATAAAAGGAAGCCTCTCGAAGACTGGCATGTGATCTCAGAAAGGGGAGAGAAGCAACGGAAAGCAAACAAAAAGCTCAGAAGGGAGAGTTGGTACGTTTTGACAGGCGTTGAAAGCCCTTGGGTGCCTCTTTTAAGTGATATTCTTGTGGGAGCTTAAGTTTGTTTCATCAGGCTCTTTGGCTGCAGGAGTGTCAAAACCAAGTCTTATCCTGCTCTTTCCTGATATCCACACATGACTTTACAGAAGACATCACTGGGTAGATGGTTGGCTAAAGATTGTTAATTATCTAATATTACTTCCTTATAATATTTTAAGACTCATCTCATTTTTGAGGTGATATGTTAAGCCTAGGTTCCCTTCCCATCTGCATTAGTCACTTCAAAAGGAGGAGTTTCTTCCAGTGTGCTGCTCAACAAACCTCCATACAAATTGTTCATTCATATCATGGCTTGTGTGACCTTGATGGTGCTTAATGACTGCTGTGTTTGCCTGCAAAAACAATCATTAGATTGCTTGTATTGTAACGATTTGTGAAATTTTTGATACATCAATTTGAGAAGTATCATTAAAATGTACATTGTAAATGTGTATGGTTGGTAAATATAAAGTAATGCAATCTAAGATGGACACCAGAGCCAGTCTGCTAATTTCATAATATATCTAAGGGTTTCAGTATCTAAATCATTGAATAATTTGTCCATGTTTTACTGACACAACTTATTTATATTTTATTTTACATTCTTCTACTTGGATTATATTTTGAGTACCTTGGTGTACCCTCTTATTTTGAATGCAGGCGAAGAATATCATTGTTTTCCTTTCAGAATTTTTTAATAACAAAGATAATAGATTTTTAAATTTAATTTCAGTACAATAATTTAATTTTAATCACTGAGTTAACATCTCAGCATTAGTCTTTGTAAACCAGCAGTATAGATGCTCAGCACATTTTATTTATCATTTGATTTATCTGAGATTTACATTGCTGTGCCTAAATATGTTTTGGACATCAGTGAACGTTAGTCATGGAAATATTTGGCATGTTGGATTGATCCTAAGAAGAGAATATTCTCGATCTTCACCAGAAGAGTGAAGACACATTTCCGGGCATGCAAGCGAACAATGTACCAAACCCGATGATTCTAGTGTTTCTATGAAACCTGTAGTTGCTGTCTCATTGGTCGATTGTACTATATTTTATAAGGAAAAACATTGTCATTGGAGGTTATATTACGCAGCTCACTAAAATTAGTAAATTGCTGATTGGAAATATTTTATAGAATATCATTTGGCTTTTAGTGACTTTAAAGAAGCAAGATTGTATTTATATAGAGATATTCTTATAAATTTTCAGATTTTTGAGGAGTGAAATAGTAAACCTTAGTTTATTACTGGAATAGCTGAGCACTGATTTAGTGTTTTGTAAATTGATGTAAATATTTGGTAAAGTAGAAAATGCAAGAGTGAAATTAAATACAGTAGATTGTTTTCTTTCTTCTATAGGTATCTTCTCTCATTCAATTGTTCTGGATTATGCATGTTATATCCATTTATCACTATACTTGTATTGAAAACAATTATTAATTGTAAGCAATTTTTAAAACAGTTCAAATTATAGGTGTTTTTGTTAAAAATGAATAAAACTGTTACTTCGAACTTTCAAGAGTGCCTTCAGCGCTGGTTTGAAGATCTGAGATTAAAATGCATTAAAAAAAATTAAAATTACTTTCATGAAACAACTGTCTCGATCAATGCTTTTTCAAAAATGTTTCTGAATGATAGGTTGCATATTCATATCTTTTAATAAAGTTCTAAAATTCTTGAGGCATTTGACACACGGCTTGGGTTTCCAATCAGCTATGTGAAATGCTTTGAGATTATCCTACCAATGTGAAAGGTGCAATATAAATATACATTATTGTTGCTTTTTGTTACATTGCAATGACATGTTTTATTTAGCTTCAGCCCAATTAAATGTGGATGCCTTTAAAAAATATTTACTGGTCTAGTTCAGGTAATAAATCTACTCAAATAATGAGGCATGATTCACATTTGCGGTGATATTACCAACTTTGAACCTGGGAGTCTGATTTATGTACCATTTAACTGATGTAATTATATCCATACAGCATTGTTCTGTTTGAGTTTAGCAATGAACCAAATATTTTATGCACAGAACTAAAAAGTGTAAGAAGAAATTTGGGAGAAAGTAATACCGATCCCGTCCAAGTCCAGAACTAAAATATTCAAATCCCATTAGTTCAGATTTACAGAGTGCTAATTCATAACTGTTTATCCAACATTAATGTTGTGGAATTTAACACAGTATTCATGTAGTCTCCAGTGCATGTAACTCTGTAGAATAAAACTGCCCCTACGCTTAAAGTAGCTGAGTTGATTGTCTAAACAAAGCTCAGTAGAGCACTGTCATCAAACATTTGCTGAAATGTTATCAGGTTTACACATCTTGAGTCACATTTAGAAGTTTACAAAGTGATGGTATATATTTTCCATGAATACATATACTCATGCATTCATGATTCCAAAGGCAAAACAATTGTAATAATCAGAAGTAATGAACAATTTCTTAATTTTTGTTTTTCATAGGTTTAGCAGTGACCAATGAGAATTGCAGACCATGGATGAAGATGTGGGAGGGCTCGAACTGCAGCAACAGGAGCCCAAGGTGATTTTTGATAACACAGGTAATTCAGATACAGAAACATTTCATTATGTTTTTATGTTTATTGGTTTGGATTATTTTTTAAAAATCCTAAATTGATGAATTGGAATCATTGTTGTCAATTAGAATCTAATCCATTAAAAGGAATTTCCTTTTGGTGACCAGTCAACAAGGTCTGCAAACAAAATTCCCAATGCCCACCTCATTCACCTCTACTTCTCAAGTATCTGTCTATCTTTTAAACATTCTTTATTTATTCCACTTCTTCAGGTTTCTGGAGCAGAGCATTCTACATCTTTACTATTCTCTGCTTGAAGAAATTCTTCCTGACCTTAATTTAACTGTCTTGGCTATGATTTTAAAGCTTGCCCTCCTGTAATGCCAACATTCCTAGCATGCATGTGGTTTAGAAGAGATTTTTAAAACCATGAGTGAAATACTTCCATTGCTTGGAGAAAAGTATAGTTTCTATTGTTCATTTAACTTTTGTGAATGTATATTTATTGTCTTAATTTAAAATGTTCCATGTTTGGGCTCTCTCACATTCAAATCCATATTATAAGATGTCGACATGAACAATCCCAGCTCAATGTAATGGAACTTTATGCCCCACCCTTAAATTGTATCATTTCAATCATTTGCTTTCCAAACAAGTGGGATTAGGGCTCTTAGCCTTAACATCATTGTCTTAAAATTTAAGATTATGCAAAATTTTGGAAAATTCTTAAATTAGGTCACAATTTGAAGAGCAGTTTTTCTCAGTTCCTTTTTTTTTAAAGAAAACTCACCTGACATTCCAAGGATTAATTCAGTTGTTTAACCATCAGTAACAATTCTACTCTAGTCTTATTTATCATAAAATAATTCTCTCCAGACATCAGTAGGGATATCATAAGTCTAGAATTGTAATTCTGTATGGCTTTCACAGTATACGCGAGTCCAGTATGACATTTCACCATCCCACCATTTCTCTACTAAAATTTGTTTTTTTTAATTAAAAAAAGTACAACTGAGCAATACTAATTAATGTTACCTCACAAGAAGTCACAAGAATTTTGACTTGTCAGCTAAATATTCTGAACATCTTTTCATTTTACAGTTCAGGAAGTGACTTCTCAAGATATTGATGGACACCATATTCTTGTGGAAGTACAAGAAACTGTCTTTGTAGATTCCAACATCAGTGGTTCACACTTTGTGTCGGATGATACGGACTCTGTTGTCATACAGGATGTTATTGAAGATGTCATTACTGAAGATATTCAATGTCCCGACATTATTGAAGAGTCGGAAACCATTATTATTCCTGAACAAGTGCTGGACACAGATGTTGCCACTGAAGAAACCTTGGTCACAGTCCCAGAGGATGTTTTGGATTCTGACATTACCTCTGAAGCTATATCTGTAGCAGAACATGTACTGACAGGTGAATCGATTCATGTGTCTGATATGGAGACAGTTGAACATGTTGCTGTTACAGAAGCTGAAATAGTCACAGATATTTTGCCACCTGATGTAATTCCAGAAGAGGTTCTGGTGACGGACTCGGCTACAGAGACTGTGATAGATGCACACAGCTTACAAGTTCAGAGTCAGGAGGCGGTCCCAGTCATGATCGAGGCACCTATAGAGGATAAAGGCACCTGTGAAGATTATTTAATGATTTCCTGTAAGTGACGAGAGAGGTAGGCCTATGGCATATGGAAAAGAAAGCACTAATCAACTTGTACCCATTTGACAACTAATTGTAACTCAACATTTAGAATAATTTTATTGTATTAAGTAATATTGGCACTGAAAAACTTTTCTCTGATTAACGTTTAGCGAAATGGGAAGGAAATGTACATAATGCCTATATTGTTTACTTTGTATCAGTGGAGGAGCTGGTGAGGGTTGGGCGGGGGTGCATGACACATTGATGGACACTATATTCTTGGGGAGGTACAAGAAACTGTCTTTGTAGATTCCAACATCAGTGGTTCACACTTTGTGTCATGACACCCCCACCCTCCCAATCACTTTGTCGGCGAATTTTGTATGTCAGTTGACCAAAACTGACTGCAAATAATTTACTCAGTTACTTTTAAATTCCTGATTACGATTTTGTTGCTGTTTTGAATCTTAAACATTAGCGAAACATTAGCTCTCCGGTCTACTTCTATTTCCTTAGAAACCAAGTTAGGGCCTATTGGGAGATGGAGGCAGAGGGGTCAAGCCAGGTCAGCCAAATCTGTACTTCGACCCCTGCCAAGTCCTTCCACCTTAGCTCCACCCTTGCTTTGTGTTGTATTCAAATTGGGAATCAAACCTTAGATCGTCCTTATCTGTAAGGCAGACAACTCACTGGAGAAAAATGTTGAGCCATAAAGGAACGTATCTTACTCTATTCACATCAGTCTGCTGTGTTATATTCATTTGGAATTAGTTAATGTGGATTTATTAAACCTGACAATATTAGGGGACGAGGGGAGAGAGACTTCCCAGAATTCATAGTTTTTGTAGCTTGTTACTAATTTCTGTTGAGATAAAATGGATGTTCTTTGGAGCAGTGACGAGTGGGGTCAGTGCTGAAGCTTCAACTTTTGATATTATACGTAAATAACCCAGATGGAAGAAATAGGCAGAATTATTTTTAAGTTTGCTAACAACACAAAGCTGGGATTGAAGAAGACATGAGAAGATTGTAATGGGAAATAGAGGGATTAAGAGAGTGGGTACTAATGGCAGCTGAGGTTTGAACTTTTAAAAGGTGAGGCAGTAAAATTCAGGTACGAGGAACAGTAAAGACAATCAATTAAGAATAATAAAGGGTATTGAAAATAGCAGGGGAATGGATTTAGAATATCTGTCATAATCTAATAAACTGGGGGAACAGGTGTGATGGGCTGAATGGCCTCTTTTCCTATGTTCACCTCCCATGTGATCAGAAGCGTGAGCTTTGCCAGTTACTGTTTTCTCATCCCTCCCCTCTTTTATCCTGGCTGAGATTTACTGACAGCAGATAATAATAATCAGATAATAGGCTATGCATTTCAGTACCACACCATGTGACACATTCGTAACAGCCATTGAACCTAAAGATCACTTTTCAAATATGTTTAGTGTTCTTCAAATATTTTATGTACATCCTGAACTCTGGTTTTGCAAACCATATATGAAGGTGTATGTTTGTATTTGTACATATATATTTCTCTGTATCTGTTTACAGAAGGAAGCACAAGATAACAGAGGTTCCATCATTGACTCTTACAGTCTAAACTAATTTCCTAAGTGATGAGATTTGGGTATGCTAAATGCTCTGAAGTCATCAGTTAGTTTTCAAACCTACATAGATTAATACTAATAGTTTTTAAACTTTTCAACCAATATTACATTTTTCTGAATAGAATGGTTTGGAGCATATACATTTTACTAGTAGCAAACTTTTATTATTTTGTTTTTGTCAAAGCTAAAGTAATTTATTAGAATAATGTAAATTTAACAAATGTATGATGTGTTTCCTGTACATTCTTCTAATATAATCCATATAATATCATGAAAATGGATGAAAAATGGTTTTCAAACTGAGCAAGTTTTATGGTATGCAGCACTCCAATTGAAAGTAAACCATACAATTTGTTTTGCAGTGGATGACGATGGAGGAAAGCTGGAACATGGAGGGAATGGTGAACTAAAGATTGAGTCTGGGTTGTCAGAACAGGGTGATCATTTAAAAGCAGATGGTACCTGCTCTGAAGTCATTAAAGTTTACATTTTCAAAGCAGATGGTGGAGAGGATGACTTGGGTAAGTAGGAAAGTATTGCTTGGTTGCAAATGAATACCAAGTATTCGTAATGTTGTATGATGTTCCTTACAAATAGCCCAGATGGTGAACAACAACAAATTAGACTTGTATAGTGCCTTTCATAATCTAATACACTTGTATAGTCCCAGGGCGCTGGACAATCAGGGGTTTTGGACCCTAGCTGGGAGTTGGGGTCAGATGGGGGGGGGGGGGAGGAGGGTGAAGGGGTTGGAAGGTTGGCAGAAGGCATGATTGCAGAGTAAGGTCTTCAGACGGGACTTGAAGGAGGCAAGAGAGGGGGTGAGGCGGAGGGATTGCGGTCAAGAACGAGGGTGATAAGTTCCTGGAGCCTGGTGCGGAAGAGGAGACGGGCTGCAGAGTTCTGAATAATCTGCATCTTGTGAGGGAAGAGTTAGGGAAGAATGGAGTGGTTAAAGGTGTTGAAAGTGGCCAAGAGGTCGAGAAGACAGAGAGAGACAGCCCTGTTCGCAGGTAGACAGAATGTCATTTGTCACTTTGACAAGGGCTGTCTGAGCTATAAGCAGCACAAAACCCAGATTAGAGAAGTACATGGAGGGAATGCTGGGAGAGGACAGAGCAAAGCTGGGAAGCCTCGTGGAGTCCTGTAGCTCAGTGGTTAGAGCACTCGCTTTGCAAGCGAGAGACCTGAGTTCATTTCCAGGCAGGGCGAAACCTTGGGCAAGTTTCCTTACTCCACACAGAGCCCTAATAATAATCCCTCCAAAACCAAAAACAATAATAAATTGGTCATTTTCAATCTACGGCTGTTTGTGGGACATTGTTGTGCGCAATTGGCTGCCGCGTTCGCCCACAAATATACAGTCAATTCACTTTACAGTATATTCTGTGAAGAGCTTTGGGACGTCCTCCCGACGTGAAAAGCGCTATATCAAATGCAAGGATTATTATTAAGTGACAACTTGTTCCATGACCTTTGATAGAAAAAGAAGGTTTGATATGGGGTGGTATTTGAAGAGCAGAGATAAGCCATGGGAAGGTTTTTTGAGGGTGGGGGTGATGACGGCTTTCTTTAAGGGCATGGATACGGTGCCAGTGAACAGGGAGAGGTTAACAAGGTCTGTTAGTGTGGGGGGCAAGGAGGTGGGGCTGAGAGGAGAGGGGTGGGGACTGGGGGCAAGGGAGCAGGTGGTGGGTTTCATATGGGAAATGATGGAGTTGAGCGAAGAGTGGGAAACAGGGTTAAAAGTATGGAGGGAGGGATGGGACTACAGTGTAGACCTTTATAATGCCCTTCATTATAGTGCAAATTCACTGATAACATTTTGACTGCAGACCCTTATTGTTTCACAAATGTATAGCTAGCACACTCAATTCCCAATCCCTGCCAACTTTTCACATTAAAATGGCTAAACTCTGGTTTACTAGGCCTAATCTGGTGGTGAGCAAATGATTTGGATGTCATTTAGCTTTCTGCACATAAAAAAACTTTCAGGTCATCATGTCACTACCACATCACTTCCTACTATGAGCATGTGGAGAAAACAGGAAGTGACGTTGTGGTAACCCACTGACCTGGAAGTCGACCTATTTTTCTTTTAGAGCAGAAACCAGCAGTGGCATGTATATGCAGTCAAAGGTGCTATCGCACCTTGCTATAACATGCATCTTAAAGAATCCCAAACACCATGTTGTCCAGGGAGTGCACTGTATTTTCTTGATTCTTGCACCCTGATTTGTAACTGTCTGATGAGCTAAGAAAAAAAATTAGACGTGTTGATTGGCACAATAAAACTCACAAGTCGTATCAGTCGGGATCATAACAGTTAATATGACTTATGTAAAGTCTGAGTTACAGGCACACTGTATAAATCATAAAAAATCCAATTTAATCAATCAACACTGCGCATGCGTAATTCAATGTAGCCAGTAAATACGCATGTGGTGATGGGACAAAACTACATTTTTCATAATTTAATGTGTCTTGACCTGTTACCACACGTGCATGTACCGGGTGCAAGCACTGGAATTGCGTTGCATCGTGGGAAATTAAGTTCTTCTGCACATGTGTCATTGGATCAAGACTAGGTTTCCTGCGATTCAATGCAGGCGGCTGGTAAGTGAGCATGCTTGGATGGGTAAGGGCATAATTTCCCGCGATTCAATGCAGCCTATAAGTGCGGGAGTAATAAAAGGTTGGGGAGCGGCATTACGAGTTAGGAGATGGTTACTACAAGTAGTGCAAAGCAATCTAAGTGGTTTTGATAGGAAACTGAACGGGAACCGGGTGAATATCTGACTTTTGCAATTATGCGATTTATATAAAGATAAGACTGTACGAGTTTTACTATATTTATAGATACTGTTGTTAATCCATGATGCTTTAGCAATTTGTGTTAATCCCTCCTCATTATGTTAAATTGCTTTAGCTATCGTATTTGAATCTGTCTTCTTTATTTCGTTTTATAGTGTATAGAGGTTATTTCGGGGTGGAATCTGAAATACATTTCATAGCTTACCTTTCACGAGAATGATTTGTATATCTTTCATTTTTGGAAATGTTTAAAATATGCAACATCAACATTGGTTCATCATTTTGACAATTTAAACTTAATAATATAATAATGATCCTTGCATTTGATGTAGCGCCTTATCACGTCTTTGAGACGTCTCAAAGCACTTCACAGGATATAGTGAATTGACTGTATATTTTGTGGGCGAAATGTGGCAGCCAATTGTGCACAGCAGTGTCCCACAAATGTCACTCCCTTATCATCAGTCCTGCACAATTGAGAAATACAGAAGGTAATTCATGGAGGCTGCAGCAAATGGAGACAGACTCACAAAGTGGCTTGTGAAACAACTTAAAGACAGTATGAATTTGTTAAATTAAAAAGCAATTTAAAATGCACTTTTTTTTGGCAGTTATATTCCTTCCAGTTATATTTTCAAAGACACCGCTTTCTTAAAAAAAGTAACAAAGGCTCATTTTTGCTTTAGTCGTTACTGGATGCTCAAACTATTGCAGTTAGATTGTGAATGTACCTGAATTTAAAGAGCACTTTAGTATTTGAATGATGCAATTGATCGGTGATTAATCAGCTCTAAAGATAAAGAATACAATATTTTCTCATTGCAAATGCGCCACCAAGATTATGGAATGAGTTTTGCATTTATAATGTTGAATATCTTGACCATAGTGTGACCATAACTTGTGGGAAATAGCAGTTGGTTACAATTCAATTGGGGAGTTTAAGTTTTTAAGAGAAAAAATGCAAACTTTCAAAGCAATACCAATGTTCTTGGCCTTTCCTGGTTGTACCGTTTGCTTCCTTAACTATCTTGGTTACTCATCTAGTTTTGCCAGGACATCAGTAATTTATCTTTCAGATCCCTGTAGGTTGCTCAGTTTGCAATTCTTTTCTTTCTTTCCATAGTTCCCCACTCATCATTGCCTTTCTTACATTCTGTAATTGAGAAGCCACTTCCTGAAAATCCCATTTCCTGTTGGTCTAAGAGATAAGAGAAGGTATTAAGGATAATTTAAAGGAAATTTGTTGAGTACTGCAAATGAACAAAACTAATTAATATAAGATCTTGAAAAAAGTTGGAATGAGATGCTTGCTACTTTTGGCAGCGCCTCGGGACATCCTCCCGACGTGAAAGGCACTATACAAATGTCATTTTGTATAGCTATCATTACTTTGAACTAACCACTTTAGTTTCCAAATTATTTCTGATACTAAATTGTATTTTGTGGTGCTGACAATGATAAACTAATAACGATCTTTGCATTTGATATGGCGCTTTATCACGTTGTTGAACATGTTTCTGTTCAAGTCCCAGTTCTACAGAAAATTCTCATTTTTCTGTAATTTAAGGAGGAACAGTGGATATTGGTGAAAGTGAAGCTGATAATGATCATACTGTTGGGTTACTGGATCATGGTAGTGGAGGCAGAGTGCCACGTGAGAAGATGGTATATATGACTGTCAATGACCCCAACCAGGAGGATGAAGACATGAGTAAGTCACATGCATTTATTCAGAAAATCAATGCATACTGAAGTAAAATGTATGGAGTACCATCCTTTCAGAATTCTATTGAACTGCGCATTTCCCTTATTTATTTAGACAAATCAGTATCACGTTGTCCAATCTCCTTTCAGGGATCTAATGTTAAGATTCATCTAGAACCATAAATATGGTATTAATTAATTTATATTCATAAAGGCTACTAGTATTTAATCAAATGTAAGGAAGGAGTGTAGGTCTGTTTTTAAGGGAAAAGCTGCAAGATGTTTTCAGTTATAAAACAATCCAATATTAAACCCAGTGAAAAGTCCTGGATTATTCATCTTCCAGCTATCATGCTACCAAGATACTTTGAAAGCATTATGATATTTTGATGTGGGAAAGAGGTTCTACTGTTCTATTATGTCAGTAACTTCAATGTATTTAAAGCGCTCTGAGACGCCGTCCGGCGTGGAAGGTGCTATATAAATCCTTGTTGTTGTATTAACAGTTTTGTCAGATAATATTGAACAAACTGGTGTTTAAAATAAAATGTGATTTTATTCCATGCCATGAGTAACTATATTTCAGCCAAACTTTCACTCATTTATCAATAAATTTCACTTTCTATCACAGTGAATGCTTCACAGCAAGAGGAGAACTGCTATCTCGAAGCAAGTAAGTTCAATACTTTTTTCATTAAACTGCTACTGGATATTGTCAATTACAGTAATGAGCGAGTTGAAGATTTTGAAACGATTTCCATAGTTTTGGCAGCTTCTAAACAATGCCTTTGCAGTTTACCATCTTAATTGATCAAGGTTAACATCCAGTATCTATTTTTGTTTTATTAAATCTCTACTTTGCTATAGTCCATGAAAAGGAATAGGGTGTCCCGATCTAACTCCAAGCCTTAACATTTGGAACAGTAATATTCCTGAAGTGACTTGGGTCATCCTATTTGATGCAGACACTTTGGAAATTGTATACATTTTAAAAATATGTTCTTTGACATGAAATTCATGAGGTCTGTACCTCCATTACCCTTTAGGCATGGAAACGTAAGGGTGGAGAAGCACTGTCGTTTCCACCACTGCCACCAATTGTTCTAAGGATAAGCTTGAAGTGAATATTGTATTAAGGTTTGGAATTTAGGTGATGGGAATGCAATTAATTGTTCTTATGCTTAAGGTTTGAGATTCTCCTCAGATTATAAATTTTCAACTGGGACTACAGCAATAGTTTTAATGAGTAGCTTGTGAGACTGATCAAAGTATGGTGCTCCAAGGAGAGCTATATTTTCATGGGTCAGTTCAAAAAAAGGGGGAGAGTGTAACGATAGGCCAGGCAGCCTAATGTCAGTGGTAGGGAAAATTGGCAAAACAACCAGAGGGGAGATGAGGATTCTTTTATATACAGAGAGTTGTCACATTCTGGAATGCACTGCCAGAAAGAGTGCTGGAAACAGATTCAATAACAACTTTCAAAAGGGAATTGGATAGATACTTGAAAAGGAAAAAAATTGCAAGGATATGGAGGAACAGTGGGGGAGTGGAACTGATTGGGTATCTCTTCCAAAGAGCTGGCACAGGTACGATGGGCCGAATTGCCTCCTTCTATACTGTAATATTCTATGATTCTACGATTCATCTTCGAGTCTTAATCATGCAATGGCATCAAAAAGCATTCTAATGGCATAACTGCTGGTTGGCTGCCAGCAAAAGTAACCGCAGCCTGCATTTTCATCAGGAATGCATCACACGAGTCACAAGACTTCAGTTCAGATCTGAGATCTCATCAGAGATGAAGTTCTATGACTTTTGGTGCATACAACAAATTTGCTGTAGAAATAGTTGTTTAACTTATGTTTGTTGTTTACCAGCAGTTAAGCCACAAATACACCACTACAGAGCTTTTTAGAAGCTATTACTTTGTATTAACCTCTGTTAATTCATTTGAAAGGATAGAATAATTTATTTCTGTTCTCTTGTCTTCACAGGCTGTGCAGATATTGCAGATGAAGTTTACATGGAAGTCATTGTTGGGGAAGAAGATGCAACAGTAGTTCATGAGCAACAAATTGAGGATAGTGACATAAACAAAACCTTTGTACCTGTAGCTTGGGCTACTGCTTACGGTAAATATTGTAGATTCTGTTATATATGTAGTTTGGGTTTTCTAGTGAGCTCAGTCTTAACTTAGATACATTAGGAGAACACCATCCTTTTATTTTTCTGGTTCAAGAGAGCCATCTGGAAAGTACACCCTGACAAACTTATGCTTGTTTCAAACGGACCTTTGTGAAAACTGACCCAATTTTCAGACAGTTTCACCTCATTTAGGAACCTGTGTCTTTCAGGCTACCTTCACACTAATCCAAATTAGATTGCCAGTTTCATTCTGTGTGCATGATGAGTGTTGGTATACACAAACTTGACAAATCCTTCCAACGAGGAGTTGTTTCATTCAGACACCAAATGAGAGGCAGAACATGTACCAATGTTATTGTTTGGAACAGGCTGCTACAGGCCTGTGGCACATCAGAGGCCTCCCATCTTCTTGTCATCATTGCTACTGAAGGCCAGTTGCAGCCTCGGTGGTAGATGCAAAATAGAATGAAAGATTGTCTACCTTGTAGCATCTTTATTCCTCAAGCTTTAGTATACTCCACGCATGTAAATTATCCTAGTTCAGTGGGAGTGCACAGTATAATCTTAATTTAAGGTTATGCCAACACCCACTGATGCCAAATAGCAAAAGTGGCCCTTTCTCTTCTCCACATTAACACACAACATTGTAGAAAATGCTAACAATGAAAGGATAAAGAAACTCTACTTAGTAGGTAGTTTTTCTATCCCAGTAAGAAAAAGTTATGGAATTAATTGTCAAACTGAAATTTTAAAAAAAATACAATGTACCTTTCTTGGATATGGGTGCAGTGAATTAATTTGTTTTCATATAAAGAAACCAAATTTCAAGCAAAATTGTATGTTCCATTTTAATTGTAGTTTGCTGAACCATTTTCCTTCATATTCATTCTATTTAATGACAGTCTTGATTTTAAACTTGAGTGCTTTAAAGGGAGGGAAAATCTAGCAAAAATATATCTTTTTAAAAGTATTCCCACATATTGTATCTTTCACACATATATCATTCTGCATTCCTGGAGCACTCTAGTGAAATCCCTGCAATAAGTCTTCTGACCTTGGAAAAACACAGTACTAGCAAGTATATAGCAGCTGCCAGCCGGTGTTGTGTTTTTCTGGGGTCAGGTGGCTCTGGATCAACTCACAGGACAGTCCAAAATGGCATTTCACATGGAAGAAAATTCAGCCACTCCAGCATGGCTTTTTCCATGATTCTATTAATTAATGTGACTTATATTAACAAGAATGCATCAGTAAATGATAACGTGGAAAAATTCTTAGACCAAAACCTTTGATTCTGTTACATATGGGGGAAGAAGGGAGAATTAATATCAGTCACTTTTAATTTTCAAAATAATTGCTCTTTGGTTATAAGCCCAACATTTTCTCCAGGTCAGTGAGAACAAACTTCTTTGAACTTAACACACTTGTCTGTCGTTGCTTGGGTAGAGGTGATTCTCAGCTATCCCAAGTGTTCTGGCTGGCGATAATTTTTGTTTGCTCATGTGCATGCATTTAAATAGTCGCCACCTGAATCTAAGGACGTACAGGACTTTTTGCATATAAACCCACAGTCACTGCACTTTACAGTATATCCTGTGAAGCGCTTAAGAGACATCCCCCTGACATGAAAGCCGCTATATTAAATGTAAGGATTATAACAAGTACTTCCTACAGTGCTTCATGGCCAATTACAATCATTGAGTAGAAGGGAGGAGATTATTGCTGAACTATGACCACACCTAGTGGAGTACTGTAGCTCAGTGGTTAGAGCACACGCCTCACAAACGAGAAACCTGGGTTCGATTCCTGGCAGGGCAAAACCCTGGGCAAGTTTCCTTACTCCACCCGCCTGATAATAATCTCTCAAGAAAAAAAAATTAATAAATTGGTCACTTCAATCCATGACTGTTTGTGGGACACTGCTGCGTGCAATTATCTGCTGTGTTTCACCCACAAAATATGCAGTCAATTCACTTTACAGTATATTCTGTGAAGCGCTTTGAGATGTCTAGAAGACATGAAAAGCCCTATATCAAATGCAAGGAATATTATTACCTAGAAATTGTATTGCATATTGACTAGAATTGACCCAGCATGCTATAACTTGTCTAGACAGTAACAGCTGAGTATAATTAATTATAATGTAACTGAGGGTAAATATGTACCAAAAAATATTTTTAACCAAAAATAAAATCTATTTGAAAAAAAATGGATTCCAATTAAATATATGAAGTGAATGGTAAAACAGAATGTTTATGTTCTATCTTAGGTAATGGCTCTGATGCTATCGAAAACCAGAATGGAACCGCAAGCAACCTTCTGCAAGCAGATGGAACAGCTGGCCTTACTCGACTGGTAAAACCCAGGGGAAGAAAAAAGAAAAGGCCTGAAAATAGGCAGTATCAGACAGGTACAGACTTTTACTCTTCATTTTTAATGGCATGCATGGAGATTTTGTTTATTCTCTAGGTTAACTGGTCATTTCAAAAATGTAATAGAAATTTCTTTTAACACTTAAACATCTGTAAGGACTGACATATTAACCTTATTTTCCCGAGATGTTTTGCCAGTGCCATTTAGATACTCATTTGAAATCTACTGTCCTAACCTTCCACGTTCATTGGGATATCCTTCCGAAATTAAATGGGCTATATAAGTACTATTTTGTTGTTGTTGATGATCTCTATTTGAACACTAACTTGTCATTCATTTCTATCCCCTTTATTCCTTAGATACCAGATTAAAGCAATTTTGGTTTATTGGGATGTTTCTATTTGTAATTGCTAAACCTGAAGACCTGCACAGATTGTAGATTGTACTGCACTTCATTTGAGTTTGTCTATTTTTAATTGTAGAATATCAGATTTTTTTGGATTACATTGATACGTATATGTTTTTCCCCTATTTCTGTATTATGTTTATGCCCTGTTTAAAGCGAATTTTGATCATACAGCCTTCCCAATCAATACTTCTCATGGTTTTATTGTACTTGGGAGGTGAAAGAATTGGGAAAGTTGTAAACATCTGTTAATTACAATGTATATTTTTTAAAACTTACACAGCTTTGAAGGATTGCTGGACTGTGTTATGTGAATTTGGTTTTAAAAACAATTTGCTCTATCCCTTGCATTGCAGACACAACTCAGGAAATTGTTTGTGGCAGTAACAATGGATATGCTGAACTTTTCTTTTCTTATTTTTGATGCAGCAATCATTATAGGACCGGATGGACATCCAATAACTGTTTATCCCTGCATGATCTGTGGAAAAAAGTTCAAGTCCAGGGGCTTCCTGAAGAGACACATGAAAAATCATCCAGAGCAACTGGCCAAGAAAAAATACCAATGTACTGACTGTGATTACACTACCAACAAGAAAACCAGTTTACACAACCACCTTGAAAGTCACACTCTCATAGGCAAAGCAGAGAAGACTTATGAGTGTGATGAATGTGGGAAAAATTTTCTCACCCAGGAGCACTGGTCTCCCACAAGTTGATTCACCGGGAAAAGGGAGCCACCAAGATGCACAAATGTAAGTTCTGTGAGTATGAGACTGCAGAGCAGGGGCTGTTGAACCGCCATCTCTTGGCTGTACACAGCAAGAATTTCCCTCACATATGTGTAGAGTGTGGCAAAGGTTTTCGCCATCCCTCGGAGTTGAGAAAGCACATGCGGACCCACACTGGGGAGAAGCCCTATCAATGCCAGTATTGTGATTACAAGTCAGCTGATGCCTCAAACCTGAAAACCCACATGAAGACCAAGCACAGCAAGGATCTGCCATTCAAGTGCGACCACTGCTTCATGACATTCACAGATGCCAAAGAACTGCAAAAACATGCCACCATTCATCAGGGAAACAAAACCCACCAGTGCACACACTGCGATCACAGGAGTTCCAACTCTAGTGACCTGAAACGCCACATTATCTCAGTCCACACCAAGGACTATCCTCACAAGTGTGAGGTGTGTGACAAGGGTTTCCATCGGCCCTCAGAGCTCAAGAAACACATGTCGACTCACAAGGGTAAAAAACTGCACCAATGTAGGCACTGTGACTTCAAAATTGCCGATCCTTTTGTTCTTAGTCGCCATATTCTTTCAGTTCACACCAAGGATCTGCCATTTAGGTGTAAACGGTGCAAAAAGGGTTTTAGACAGCAGGCTGAGCTCAAAAAGCACATGAAAACCCACAGTGGCAAGAAGGTTTATCAGTGTGAGTACTGTGAGTATAGTACTACTGATGCCTCTGGCTTTAAACGGCATGTTATTTCCATTCACACAAAGGACTATCCCCATCGTTGTGAATACTGCAAGAAAGGCTTCCGTAGACCATCAGAAAAGAACCAGCATATTTCTCGACATCATAAAGATGCTGTTTTGGTTGAGGGGTTGTCATGAACTACTTTCAAATTAGATAGTGTCTGCTTCTAGTATGTTCATTGTATATTAAAAGAATATTTGTGTCCAGTTATAGTCAAAGACTTGAAGTTAAGTTCATTCTGATCACTGAACTGACTTTTTTTTTCTATTTGGATTGTATGCTAGGTGGGAGATCTAGTTTAAACTGAAAATGTTGTACTTCCTTTGACTCAGCTATCCATTAAATGGGAATTTGTTTGCAACATTGTATTAACTCTTCAGAGATAAAAGCAACAAGCTAGTTGCAACCAAACAGCTACAGTTTTATGGTCCCCGCCGTTATTAGTTAAATAAATGACCCCAATCTTCTATTTTATGCAAGAATAAATTAGCTTCAAAATAATTATAGATGGAAAGTGGCACTTTTTTTTATCATTTTCTCATTGCTCGGTTTTTATTGAAGTGCTACAGTTTTTTTTTGCTTACTGCTACCTGGCAGAAATTCATATTTCCTGCATATCCTTCTGTATTTTGATAACACTTCATTTGGTGGTTCAGCTACAGTTGTATTTTTGTCACCCATGCTTCCTAAGCTGCAATATATTATAGTAAATAGTGTGTCTTCAGTCCTTACTTGGATTGCTATTTTTATTACAAATTCATGGATTTTTTTTAGAAAAAAGGGGAAAAATATAAAAACATTGCAAAGAGAATTTTGAACATTTTGGCATTGCCTGCTGTATTTTACCTGTCTGTATCTTCAAATGTGCTTAATTCCTCTACTGTATCAAGTGTGGTCTAGCAGTTGCAACATTGTGGAAGAATCTTCTTGATAGCTAATTTACTGTTTCAGATATTGTGTAAGAAAAAGCATCACTGATGTTTTACAAGTGTACACATTTTCCCAAAATTATATTTTGCCAATATCTGTATAAATCTTGTATAAATAAAACAAATAGCACTAAACAATTTTTTTAAAACTTCAAGTGGTTTCTATAGTATACTGCAGCTTACTCTTAATTACAGAAGTTTAAAGGAAAAATATAATAGAATTATACAGCACAGAAGGAGGCCATTCGGCCCATCGTGTCTGTGCCGCCTCTTTGAAAAGAACTACCCAAATCAATCCTACTCCTCCGCTCTCCCCATAGCCCTGCAAACTTGTCCTCCCCAAATAATTATCTGCTTCTCTCTTAGAAGTTGTTATCGAATCGGCTTCCACCACCCTTTCAGGCAATGCATTCCAGATGTGTAATATCTATTTTGGATGGGCTGTGATAAGTTTTAAACTGCATGCATTATCCTGCTTTATACAATGTACCTCAGGCTGGTCACACAAATGCACCAAGTCCCTCTTCGTGATACATATTTTAAAAAAAGAAACATTTTAGCTATGAAAAAAAACTGAGAAATCAGTTGTGTACAGATACAACATTGAATAATCTCAATGAATTTTCTTTCAATTTATTCACCCAAAAAGAAAATAAGACATAATATTGCAATGCAATTTAGAAACTTCAGAGTTAGTATACTGTAGTTTGTTTGGAACCTCAAGTTAATATGCTCTTTCTAATTTGTACACTATCCGGCTAACTTTGAAATACAAGAATCTGACATTTCTGTATATAATCAGTCTATAAATGGCATGCACATGGAAATGAATCCAAATGGAAATAATAAACAAATTATACTTTAATATAAGCAGCAGAATGTAATCTTGCACCAACTAGCTTTCAAGATCCCATAACTCACTTCAGGTTTGCATGGGATTGGAAAGTTAAAAGCCATTTTAATGGTGTGTCATTCCATTACGTTTGATTTTGGAAGTGCAATGATTGACCTAATTATAAAAATTTTCATGAACCTGTCATCTAATTTGAAGCAGCATTTTTTATCTGAGGGAGATGTTTCACAGCATGTTTAATTCTCAAAGAATAAATCTGTTGAAATTCAAAAGATTTTCGTATGTGAGCACTACTAAAACCAGATTACATAATTCTTTTGGTTTTAATTATTTCAGTTTGATGTCTGTCCATCCTTCTGTGTCTCCAGGCCCTCTCCACTGTCCCTGCCAAACAAAATATGTAAAGTGTTGTTCCCTTGGTATTCATTTAAAATATGGTTTTGCAGAGTATGAAGTACATACTCAGCTGCAGTAGTTGTGTACACTTTCTACCATTTTCTTATTGCCTTTTTTTAATGATGGATTTTCTTTTTAAGTGTTCCTAAAATTCCTACAGTACCCTGTCTTCATTTTAATTGAAATTCAAGACCACTGTAATATTCCCAAATACATGAATAGCATTTAGCTTTCTCCATTGTGAATGTTTATTGGATGATGCACCTGATGCTCCTCTGACATAAACAACTCTAGTTAAACAAACCCTTTCAACTGTACCACTGAAATCTTTCTGTGCTATTAGTTGCCTTGAAGTATGTGTAGTGCAAATTGCTTATAATAGATTGGTGCTGGTTCAACATCGTTTTAAAAGACATTTAGAAAATAATGAAAAGGTGATAGAGATGGGGCAATATGAGAGTATGTATTTTAAAATTTATAAAAATTAAAGATGTGGTATACAAAGAGATTTAATAGTTGTTTATTGAGCAGACAAAATAACCTACTTTTTAAACAAAAAGTTCTTTTCTGTTCTTAAACAACTGTTCTTAAACAACAACAAATTGCTTTTATTTAGCTCCTTTCACGTTGGAAAGAATAGAAGTGAAACTTTAATGGGCAGCCAAGGGAAATTGTTGAATTGGAGCATACATTTTACTGGGATAAAGTGTAAGGGGTAAGTGTTCTATAAAACACCAGCTGGTAAGAGGGAAGTTCTGTTCCTGTGCCTGTAAACATTGCAAACAAAACAACCAACCTTCTGTGATATTATTGTAATTAACATTGTATTTGAAATAAAATTATTTTCCTTTGCATTATTTACTCAGTTTCCCCCACAGTGTGTACATACATTGATAGTAATTTTGCTGTTACTGTTGGTAATAAATGCATTTGTGTACAGGTTTTTAAACCATTAATAAATATTTGGGATTTATAAAGAGTACCAAGCACAGTTACTTTCAAGTTTAGGTTAATTGTTTGTGTCTTTGTATTAGATAGTTTCAGATCTAGAATGTAAAGGGAAACCATCAGGTCTTTTGTTTGAAACATTTTAGTGAAATTCAGTTACATTAGTTTCAAATGGACCTCGGTGGAGTGGGAAAACGGATACATTTCAACCAAGTAGATATAGAGTCAGAAGTGAGACTGCCAAGTGTTGTAGATAGTGGAGCAGTGCAATAGTCCTCCATAATTTAAGGAGAGGTACAGTACAATGAACAACATGCCTGATGATAATCCCTCAAGAAAAAAAGTAATAAATTGGTCACTTCAATCCATGACTGTTTGTGGGACACACTTGCGCTCAATTGGCTGCTGCGTTTTGCTCACATAACATACGGTCAATTCACTTTACAGTATATTCTGTGAAGCGCTTTGAGGCGTCTAGAAGACATGAATAGTGCTATATCAAATGTAAGGATTATTATTATTATAGATGGGCTATATCTATCATTAACAATGCCAGACCCAGTAAGCGCCTAATATATTAAGCATGTTCACCCATAAAACAGTTGCTGTACTTAACAGTACATCCTGTGAAGTGCTTCAGGCAGCCCTGACATGAAATGTTATACCAAATGCAAAGATTGTTATTATTAATAATAATATCAAGCATGCTATAACTAGGGGATACAGAGTGAGGTTAACCCTAACCGCAATCGTGACTAAATATAAAAAAGAAACATCCTAGGCTGATTTTGCAGACAGTTTGAACCATATTATTATAATCTTTACACTTGATATAATGCCTGACTGTCAGGAGGAGGATTCAAAGTGCTTCATAGAATTTATTGTTAAGATGTAGTGAATGAACTTTTTGTAGGTGAATATTGCCCCCAACTAGCTATCTTGCCTGGGGTATCGTGTTTTTAACCATTGCAGTATTTGTTTCAGCATTTCTTCTGAAATGAGCAGCACAGAAAACAAAAGATTCTAAAAACAATTACATAGTCCAAAAATTACATAGAATCACATAGAATAATGCAGCACAGAATCGCATCATTTGGCCCAACTAGATTGTGATGTGTTCATACTCTACATGAGCCTCCAACCTGCCTATTTCCTCTCCTATATTCCCTTTTCCCCCATGTATATATCAAGTATCCTCTTAAATAGATTGATACTTTTTGCTTTCCACCAGTTTCAGGCAGTGAATTCCATGTTCTCACCACTCTGCATGAAGAAGTTCCTTGTATCCAACAGCAGCCACTCTGACTGCCCCATCCTCCATTTTCATTGCAAGAAGCACCATTGGCCTCAGTCCCTGGGAGTAAACTTCTCTCATTCATGTTTCCACCCTTCCTCCCATTCTTTCTTCCCCCCCCCAACCTCCCCCCCACCACCCCTCCCTGCATCCTGCAAACATCCTGCAAATGTTCACTCCCTATCTAATAAAGCCCTCACTGTCCACAAACTCGTTGTGGATGAAAAAATTACATCCTTGTTCTCACTGAAACCTGGATCAAGCCAGGTGACATCTTCCCCCTTACTGAGGCCATACCATCTGGCTATACCTTCCATCATGCCCAGTGACCCAACCGTTGTGGTGGTGGTGTGGCCCTCATCTCCAGGTCCTCACTGGATCTATCTTCTTACTCCTCTGGATCCTTCTCAATTGAGCACCTAACTTTCTGCCAGCCCTCCAATTTCTCCTTAAAAATTCTCCTGATCTATTATCCCCCAAACACTCCTCCACTTTCCTCTCTGATATCTCCACCCTCCTGTCTTTCCTCTGCATCTGTTCTGAGCTCCTCATCATCTTGGGTGACTTTAACTACCACTTCACTCCTTCTTCCTCTACATCTCTTACTTCTCACTCCTCACACCTCTCCCTCCACATCAAATCCGCCCTTCACATCCATGGCCATCCACTAGACCTGGTGATCACCCGGGGACTTACGATCTCTGATGTCACCATCACTGACAAAGACATTTCAAATCACTATTTCATCTCCCTTAACTCCTCTAGCCCCTCCCTGACACCCAATCCATGTGCATCTTCCCGGAGAAAAATCCCCCTCAATGCCCTTTCTGCTGCCCTGGAGCATCTGAACTCCTACCCTTCTGGCCCTCCTCCTACAACGACCTACCCTCCTTGGTCAGCATTCTAAACAACTCCCTCTCGACCATCCTCGACACCCTTGTCCCGGTCATTTCCCGCATTGCCTAATACTCTCACAAATCCCCCTGGTACATCAGCCACCCCCGATACCTCAAATCTCAGGTGCGCTCTGCCGAATGCCCCTGACAAAATCCAAATTAATGGTTCACCATCAGGTCTGGAAGGACAGCACCAAGACTCTGCCCTCGCCTCAGCTAAATAATCTTTTTGGTTCCCAAATCATCTTGGAAGATACGAACAACCTCAAACTCCTCTTGTAAAGCACTATACAAACGTAATTTTGTTGTTGTTGTTCTACCATAAACCAACTCCTCCGTCCACCCTCCTATGTCTCTGCTATCCTTTCCTCCAACACCAAATGTGAGGAGATGATGGATTTGCTCGAGTCCAAGTTGAGGGAATCTGCTCTGCTGCCTCTAGCCCCTCTAATGGCAACTCCCCACCAACCTCCCGCTCCCCTTCCAGCCTTGTCCCCATCCCTCCCTCCACACTTTTGGCCCTGTCTCCCCCTCTTTGCTCATCTCTGAGCTCATGTGGAGTCCTGTAGCTCAGTGGTTAGAGCACTCGCTTTGCAAGCGAGAGACCTGAGTTCAATTCCAGGCAGGGCGAAACCTTGGGCAAGTTTCCTTACTCCACACGCCTAATAATAATCCCTCCAAAAAACCCAAAACAATAATAAATTGGTCATTTTCAATCTACGACTGTTTGTGGGACATTGCTGTGCGC